AGATGAATTATAATAATACATAAGATTCTCTCGTTAAAATGTTATAATTAACCTTTTTATACTGTAGTTGAAATCGACTGCAATTTATAATTTTCTATCTGAAACTTTCATTACATAAACGTTGTTCATAAAGGCATTAAATACTAGAGAAGTGCCAAGTGGAAGTTATGCCGAGTTTTAATCGGCTTTATTTTCACCAAACCGAGTATTTAGTCGAGTTACACGGTTCAGTCACACAAGTGTAAGGCGCAAATTTCTGTTTAAATAAGCAGTAATATTTTATATGCAAAACAGGCGCACATTTGATTTTGATTTGAGAAAACGCGGTTTATAAAATAATTAATAAATCATCATTTAATTAAACCAAAGATTGTCACCAAAGTGAAGTACTTATCAGATAAATAATCAATTTTAACTTTGTACAAGGTTCAAATAGTTTTGTTTGGTTTCGTAAGTTGAATTTGGGTAGTTCAAAAGTTGTCGAGTATAAATACCTAATTTTAGGTCCTTATATACGAAATTGGCGTTTTGTCGTACTGGCCACTTTAATCACAAATTTCACCTCCTTGGTTGGGAATTCCAAATTTAAATTTATACAGCCATTTACACATGTATTTGTGTTTCGTTAAGCGGCATTCATTTGGTTTTTCTTCTGTTTGTCTTATTTACGTCACCCAGTATAAAAAATGGAAAACTTGAAATATCGTGTTATATACGAGTACGAGTTCCACCGTGGTACCAGTGCTGCGGAAACAGTGCGTTTTTGGTTCGAACGTTTTCGTTCTGGAGATTTCGACCTGCAGAACAAGCCCCGTGGACAGCCGAAGACCCAAGTTACTAATGAAGAATTGAAGGCTATTGAGGAAGCGGATACATCACAAACCACGCCCGAGTTAGCTGCAGGCTGCGGTGTTAGTGATAAAACTGTTTTAATCCACTTGACGCAAATTGGAAAGATTAAAAAGCTTGAAAGGTTGGTACCTCACGAATCGAATGAAGCAAATCGGCAAACGCGCTTCGACTGCTGCTTAACATTACTTAACCGGCAAAATAATGAAGGGTTTTTAAATCAAATCATTACCCGTAATGAAAAGTGGATTCTCTATGATAATCGGAAGCGCTCTTCGCAATGGTTGGACCCTGGCATGCCAGCAAAATCCTGCCCCAAGCAAAAATTGACCCCCAAAAAGTTACTTGTAAGCGTTTGGTGCACTAGTGCCGGTGTCATTCATTACAGTTTTCTCAAATCTGGCCAGACGATTACGGCAGACGTCTATTGTCATCAATTGCAAACCGTGCTGGAAAAACTAGCTTTTAAACAACCGAGACTGATCGCTCGCTCTGCGCCATTGCTACTTTCCGACAACGCTAGACTACACACTGAACAACAGACGGCTTCTAAGTTAGAAGAGCTTCAATTGGATTGCTTAAGACATCCACAGTACTCCCCGGACCTTTTCAACAGATGACATGACCATTTGATGACCATTTTTTTCGAAATTTGGATAACTTGCAAGGAAAAAAATTCAACTCCGATGGGGCAGTGTAAATCGCCTTCAAAGATTTTATTGATTCCCGTCCGAATGGTTTTTTTTAGTAAGGGGATCAATGAATTGCCTATGAGATGGCAAAAATGCAAAGATAACAATGGTTTATACTTTCTTCATCATCATCAGCCCCTTTTACGTTCCCACTGCAGGGGCTCAGGCCTTTCTTATGGATGGTTAAGGAGGATGGGCCATGACCCTCCACGCTGGCCCAATGCGGATTGGAGGGTATTAACGACTGCAAATGCAGCCGGAACCAACGGCTTAACGTGCCTTCCGAAGCACGAAGTAGCTCGAGATAATAATTTTTTGGTCACCCATCCCGTGACCGACCCTTGCGAAAGTTGCTTAACAACAACGATCGCGGGCCGCGGCGCTTATCCACTACGCCACCGAGCTACTTATACTTTGATTAAATAAATATATTATATTAAAAAATATTCGACTTTTTGTTCCTCCCATACCAAAAAATTTCATATGTAATAATAATATTAATAAACAAGCTCTCGACCTATTTCTAAGATATCTAAGATATCTCCCACTTGAAAAATTATAATATAACCAAATGTTTACTTCTCGTGAAAACCTTGTATGTTTTGACGTTCATCATTATTTTTTTTAGGATTCGTTTAAATGATCATCTATTTATTTGAAATAAGTCTTACAAAGCCTTATTCCATTAACCTGAGGTTATACTCTTTTCTTTAATTATCAATATATCTTCAACTATATCGGGCTCTTTTCTACTCTGTCATTAAACATACGTAAGTATGAGCAGGTATGCCGATTTTAAGAGAACCTTATCATTTATGAAGTGTCGCCGTTGTCTTATCGAGTCGTCATTCAGTCGTCACATCATATCATATTAGAGGTAAAAGTTTGAGAATCACTGCTATAATAAATAAATCATTTATTTAGTCATCTCCCTTCTACTTGTTAACTGTCATTTTGAGTGATAAATTGGACTCAGGGGCGGGGGTACAGTTATTTGCTTCATTTCCACCATTAATGTACGACTTTTTACCTTCTCCTGGAATGTTTTTCTTTGTCGTGTTGGTGTAACAAATATTATGTCTTTGGTCAAAAAAATATTGTGTTTAGCTTGTATGTTCTGAAGGGACTGGGCAAGTCGACGCTCTAAATTTTAGATTGTTTTGATTGAACTATTTGTATGACATTAGTAAAAATACATTGGACTAAATATTTTTCGAAAAAGTATTTTGATACGATGTATCATTTCTTATCGGCCATGTTATTGTCAGTGTGTTATCAATTTGCATAATTCTATCCAACAATGATTTCTAACCTTGGCCTTTGTGATCTGTATTTTTTAAATGTTAGATTCGCTTTACTCGCCTTTAATACTTTTAAAATGTGACAACAGCAAGGAAAACCTGTTTTATCGACGATGCTTATTGCCTAAAGCGTACTTTCGTTGCATACAAATGACAAACATTAGCTCATCATACAGAAATTGCTTAAATTTCCTTCTTCGGCCCGACAGTTTATTCTCTCCCTAATGTTAATTACATTTGGGCAATTACAGTCACAATTGGGCCAACAGTTGATTTATACGATAAAGAAAAACGCTTCTCATTATATTTCATATTTATAACGCCATTTTTTTTTCACTCCCAAACGCGTCACTCGCGTTCTCGCTGATAAGGAAAAATAACCTATACAGTGTTATAATGAATGTTTATACTACATTTAGTTCTTTATTTGAATTATGGCTGCTCGTTATAAATTTAATATTTAACATAATCAAGTACGAATATATCTAAATTTAAACCTCGGGTTTCCTCAACAAATAATTTTGAGAGATTTTTCTACTCTTGGTTTATGAGAAAATTACTTCAGCAAGATTTTAGTTTTAGAAGCGTTCAATAAATGCAAAATGGCATGCAGATCTCGCGGGAGCGGTGTTCGTTCAAATGGAAGTGAAGCGTTAGCAAAAAAATCATGTCAACAGTATGAATATGATATTCTTTTAGAGAGATGAGATGAAAATAGCAATTTTAAGTTGCCAATATTTTAACATGGAGGATGAAATAAGAAAAATACTATATCAGTACTTTTTGCTTATGCAATAGTTTTAAAAGGTTCAACAGGTTTATAACGTGCACACTTCACATGGTCTACCTACGGTTGCGTTTCTATTTTAGCTTCGGATCAATATCTGTAGGACGATATGCATTTTTGCTGTACGACGGCAGTGACGCCCTAAATTAAATTGCACATGAACAGATTTTTTTTTATTATTGGTTATTACATTTTTGGTTAACTGTAGAATGATCAGTACTATTGGCAATTTATTCACTTGTTTGCGTATGCACAATCTAAATAGTTAATGCAAATTTGAAGTGGGTCGGGACGCAAACTGATGGATTGTGGGTCGAGTAACGTTGAAAGGATAGATTATTTTATATGCAAAAAAACTGAATTGTTTTCAGGTTAAATGGTTTTATGATAGTTCTAATAACTGTTTTCCATGAAATTGTTAACATTGTGTTATATGTGTGATGGATTTTTTTAAATAGACTATTTTCAGTCAATCTATTGATTTAAAATGAGAATCGATGAAGTGTAATTTTTTAAAATTCACACTTCATTTACTGCTTACGGAGTTTGACCTTGTCACATCGGACCGTTAACAGGCAACCTTACTATATATGGACGGGAATTAGTTGTCTGCCTCAACTTTTGCCATACAGCATATTGTGCTTCAGGTCGGCTCGTAATGGCCTAAGTTTGTTATTACAATTGCACTTGTCCCTTCCACTGTTTCCCGTACAGATTACTTGATCACCAATGTTCCAAGAACTCTGTCAATGTGGCTTGTCCTTTTAACATTGTTAGCAAGTGTCTTTAGATTGTTGAAGATAGTAATTTTCTTTATGGATTATATGTATGATTTTCGTCGCCTCTGGAGAATACGTGTTCATTCAAATCTTTTAATCTTTGAATATCTTAAACTTAGCTACATAAGTCTCTAATACAAGACAGAGATTTTCAAGTTCTCCTTAATTATGTCAAATTTAAACATAAAGACACAATGAAACTGGATAGTTTCATTAACGAAGTTCCTTCTCATTTTCACACATAATTTTCACCTAAATGTTTTCATCATCATTATTATCAATGTTTACTTTATTTCCCTATAATTATCGCCTTCCATAAACCAATTTTATTCTACCATCATAGTGAATAGAGTGGGAAAAATGGTAGGTCATGGTTGAAACATTAACCTAATGTGCTGTTACTATAAATAAAACGTAGAAAATAAAAAGTGTGCTACATTATTACAATATGTATGTATTGTCATTATAGATCAATCAAGAGTGTTCTATTATCACGTTAATTTTAAATAAATTTTTTATAAATTCGGAGCGCTTTTATTAACCAGGATTTGAGCAAGTCATCTATTTTATATTATATATTTTTCTATTTCAGAAACAAAGCACGAATTAGAAGATCTCATGGCTGACGTTAAGAAAACTGCCAACAAAGTCAGAGGAAAATTAAAACGTAAGTAAAAGAGGATTATTGATTAAATTATATGCTGCTTAAAGCGTCAGTCGCTGATCAGGACATTATTGACTCGATCTGAAACTCTGATACCGTTCCTGTATACATGTATATCTTCTGATTGAAGTTACTTGTCAGTTTATCTAAAGTTATCAGTATTCAATACAGTCGGCACTATATCGTTCGAAGACATTTGTTTGGTTTAAGCATTTTGTTTATCTCTGCGAATTCCCACGGCCGTACAGTTTGGGGAAGATAAAGTTTATGTTGGAGTCTAAAGGACCGATTGATATACTTTAGAAATGTGGTTTTCTATTGGAATAATACTTATTAAACTAAGTCTTCATTTCGTCTTATTTAGATGCAACTTTTACATAAGTAACCTATACTTTATAGATCGTATAGCTATGATAGTTGTAGACCTAAAACCTGTGCCTTTCCATTTTTGCAGTAAAAATATTAAAAAAATAATGTGATCGCCAAGTAGCTTTAACTGCAGATAGCACAAACCAAATCAGCATGTTTTAAACATTATGTGTACATACTAGTCTTTCAAGGATATACTGGGAAAAGATCAATACACATACTGTTTGTTGTTCATCCAAATTTATTTTATCACCTTCAAAGTATGCTCCTTTAGAAACGATACACTTACGCCAACGAATAACCCAATCATCAAAACATTTCTTCTTTATGTCTTCTACTAATTGAAAACGGGTACCTCGAAGTGGTAATTTAAGTTTAGGAAAAATATCAAAGTCAGCTGGAGCCACATGTGGTGAATATGGTGGACGCTCAATGGTATTAGTTGAGTGTTTGCTCAAAAAATCGTTCACAATGATGACCTTGTGCGAAGGCGCATTTTCGTGATGCAAAATCCAAAAATTTTCTTACCACAAATCAGGCCTTTTTCGTCGAATTTGCTCTCTTAAGCTCCGCATAACGCACAAATAATATGTATTCCTCATTTATCGTTTGACCTTCCGGCAAGAATTCTGAGTGCACAACTCCGCGATAGTCAACATGGCTTTGACTTTTGTACGACTTTGGCTGGTTTTTTTAGGTCTCGGTTCAGTTGGAAGGTATCACTCCGAATTTTGTTGACTAGATTGCATGTCAACCTAGTAAACCCACGTATCATCACCAACAATCGGTTCATGAATGTTAGTTCGGAATTAACTCGTTCTAGTATGTCCTCAGCGACTCTCATGCGATTGAGTTTTTGGAAAACATTCAGGCATCTTGGAACTAGCCGGGCGGCAACATGTTTCATATCCAAATGATTAGTTAAAATGGTACGGATCGAGTCGTGAGATACAGAAAGTTCGGTGGCTATCTCTTTCAAAGTTGAATGTGAAATTTAAAGTCTCTTTTCTTTCATTTTGCAATGGTAACTTCAGTTGCAGACGTTGATGGCCTACCAGAGCGAGGCAAATCTTCCATCACATCTCAACCACTTTTGAACGCTTTAAATCACAAAACAGTTGTGCCAATCTAACAACAACAAAAAATAAAATTGAATTTTGTAACCATTAACAAATAACCCATACCGTATACTTTTTTGACTACATCATCATTGGAGCTAACCGACGATGGTCACTGCTAAGCAATAACTCTTTCCTATAAATCTCCACTCTAACAATCTACTTCTATTTCAACTAAGCAATCATTTGAGCAATCTCGGTTACTTTAGGTCTCTTTACAGATTTCCCAATTTTTTTGTTGTTGTAGAAACACCAAAGATTGTTTTGTCCATATCCCGCATGGCCTATAGTGAGACACAGCGACCACTTTCATATAGCTTATCCTCCTTGTATATGACTCGTAGTTAATTAATTTCACCGTCTCTTGTGTACTATAATAATGTGCGTTAAATATTATTTTATTTCAATGTGTCTACAGTAATGGTCTGTGATTGAGTGACTTAAACATCAGCTTCAAGGTGTTGCAAACCCCGAAATTCAAAAAAAGTCCTGGCTGTTGGTCAGGAACCACAGAGTTTTCACAAAAATAATAAACTTTTGTCAGTCGTCGTAATACATTTCAGATTTCTATTATGCCTTTGAGTACTTAATGTGAGATCTGCCCTAAGTATATGGTATTATCTAACATTTATATCTATTGCATTCGACAGACATAGAGCAGAACATCGAACAGGAGGAGCACTCAAACAAATCATCCGCGGATCTCAGGATAAGAAAGACTCAGCACTCTACTCTGTCGCGCAAGTTTGTAGAAGTGATGACAGAATACAACAGGTATTAAATTATATAGATGTATATGGATTCTTCTAAATTCCAAATATTAGAAAGGGAAAGCGAGCACCGGCTAAGGGGTTACCAAATTGCCGATTAAAGGTGGTGAATAATCGGCCTTTCCCAATGAGTCAGCTAGTCGTCAGCCCAATATTTTGTTTAAACATAAATATTTTAGGGGGATAGATCCCGCTAAGTTATCGATATCCAATTTAGGACGCAGACGGACTACCGGGACCGTTGCAAGAATCGGATACAACGGCAGTTGGAAATCACCGGCCGCGCTACCACCGATGACGAGCTCGAGGAGATGCTCGAGCAGCCCAACCCCGCCGTATTCACTCAGGGGGTGAGTTTCAATAAGTTTATTTCTAATGTCTTTACGACTAACATCCACTCTATCCCACGAAATTTCTTTTTAATTTCTAATGGCAGCCACTCGCGTAGCGGTTTTACCAACAGAAGACAGAAAATAGGTTTTAACCTAGTGCAGACTTGCACAAATATACATTGTTAGCCGATGACCACATTCAGCTCATGCAAACTTGTACTGATACAATTTTTGTAACAGTGAGTTTCTTGTGGATGACGCTTTGGCATAATGGCTTCATATATGCAAAAAAAAAAATTACATGTGTCCACACGAGGCGTCGGAAATCGACATCATCATTATAATCATCATTACTGATAATGAAATTCCAGATAAATGATATATATTTTCAATCCAATCACTCGACGACGATGCTAAAAATAATACTGATTGATTACGTATTCTCATGTATAGGAACTATACTATTTCTACTTTCTTTAAAAAAGTAATTTTACCGATAGTTGACTACCTCCGTGATCTAGTGGCTCGCAAATCGCCGGTTTCAAGGTGTCCGTGTTTGAGTCCCGGTTGGGTCAATGTAGAAATTATTATTATTTTTCTTATATTGACTCTAGGTGTTGTGGTACGTTCGTTTTTTTTTTTTCAGATTTCCATAATAGTTGTTTAGGGTTGGTACATATCTGACGAAAGATCCGCCGCGTATTAACTCATGCTTCCGTGATATGAATGAGGAATCTTCCGTGAAGTGTGACCGACCCTAAGCTATGTAATTTGGAATCTGAGAAATATATGTGATGACATATTTAAACCGGTCGATGGGGTCAGAACGGTAATGTCACCATGATTTTGTGTAATACTATTATTATTTTACAGTTGGACTGATTCTGAAGGTCACAATAATATTGATAATCTACCGCCAACACAGCAAAGTAAGTCCGATATGCATAACAATATAAATATTAAATTTTTCAGATAATAATGGAGACGCAGCAAGCGAAGCAGACACTGGCGGACATCGAGGCACGGCATGCTGACATCATCAAACTGGAGACCTCTATCCGCGAGCTTCATGACATGTTCATGGACATGGCGATGCTCGTCGAAAGCCAGGTCACATACTCTTATTTTCATTCTACCCACATTTATTACAAGAAATTTATAAGCATATTTGTTAAAAAGGAATCTACAATTTTTTATACCTAGCTACGAGCACTTCTTTATTTTTTATAGGATGATAACGTTGTAATATATAAAACGATGAATTCCTATGAATACAGGGCGAAATGATCGACCGCATTGAGTATCATGTAGAACACGCTGTTGACTATGTTCAAACTGCCACACAAGATACAAAGAAGGCCCTAAAATATCAGAGCAAAGCTCGACGGGTAAGTTGTCTTGTACCAGTGCAGAGTCATTCATTGCTAATAATTTTATTTTGTTTCGTTCGCCCCTGCCCGTATCGCGTCCGTACTGTCCGAATCCTTATCCCCGCCATTGTGATGTTTCGTTGAATGTTTTGTTTTTGGATCTTCGTCCTTTCCGAACATTGTTTTTGTTTATGTTGACGATTCGGTGATTGGTTCAACACTGCTCTGTTATGTTATTAATCGTTCGTCATATATGCATCACATACTCGCTTTAACTGTTGTGTTATAACTGTTCATGTCGCTCCAACTAACACTAATTGGTAATGGGCTTCCTACCCCTCTAACTTATCTAAATTTATGTATCTAATAACTTGACTTCATTTGGTGTGTGCGTAATTTGCCTTTGCATATGTTTATACAATATCTGTTATATCGTACCGTTTACTAACGCTTCAGAAACATTGTTATCGTGTAACAAATCTTCGATCGACGTATGTGACTTTATGAATTGTCAAATCACCATAAGTGTAGGTTAACACTGGATGTCATCAATGTAACACACACGAACACAATTATATTTGTCGTGTCGTTTATTTTCTTATGTGTATTTTATTTTATTTTTTTTACTATGATTTAACTGGTATTACTGTCCTCTTACTGTCTGTTATTAACATTCTCGATCAGCCACACTTTGGTCGGTTCCTGTAACAAATCCCGTGGGATCCGTATAATACACGTATGAACCAATCGGCCGTGCGCAACCGTCCGGATATCCGGCTATGGTCCCGCCCTATCCCGCGGCATGCCTTTAGGCGAGCAGGGCGAACTGATAGATCGCATCGAGCACCATGTAGCTGAGGCCACAGACTATGTCGACACCGGCCACCACGAGCTGACTTTGGCTTACAAATGGGCGCAAAAGGCGCGGAAGGTAAACAAACACGATCAGCCGAGCTTACGGTTTCAATACACTAACAAGCGGTCTTATGTTAAAACGACCACTTACACTTACCGGAAACGAAGCTAACCAAGACATCGATCTCATGTACTTCAGGGGGACTATGAGGATAGCGCTTTGATGTCATTTCTGTTTACTATATTATAGTTTGTTAATAATGTATCTGTCGTACGGTAAATAAGAGTTTCACTTCCTTTTTCACTTCCTTCGTGTTTTACAGAGTTTTTGCATGATGAGTTGCATTTTTTTCTCTATATTAATCTGTTACGTCTTTCGAAATCATTTAGATAGTATAGCATTATTCAGGCCTACAGAAATCGTACGAATGCATGATATAAGCGATTTGCACGAGCTTTCAATGCGCCCGCGCACGATAAATCTGTTTTTGTGTGATTCATAATTATTAAATTACAGAAAAGTTATTAAAATCGTGTAATTGTTAGAAAATGAGTACCGATTCAAAATATTTATAAACTGTTAATAAAAACTGTGTATTGGAAATAGAACTATGGAATTTAGTGTTGTTTTGGAATTTCATAATTTTGAAAACAATTTATTATTATTAATAACCCAGTCAAATCATTTCTATTTAGTATTTGTGTTTGAGAAGCTTGTGCTTTCTATGTGGTTAAATGTGGTGATGGGTTTGCATGTTAAGAATATATGCATATAATATAGATTATAAATATTCTCAAAATATTTTATTACATTTATCGGGAGCATGGTTCACTTTGATATTAATTTTTAGCATATACTTGAAATATAATTTGACATTTTGATTAGTAGGCAATTTGTAAGTTTCATAGCATCAAGCATTATTCAGACAGTGAGTCGGAGAGTGTTTAATTTTGTAGCTTCATGATTAGTATTGTTACTGTTGTGCTTTTGATATTAAAAGCTTAACATTTATAATAGAACAAAAAGTCAAAGTATGTATCACATTGTACAGTCGCGTCCATAATATTTATGTATAGCAAGGATTGAAATTATATATTAAATTCGCCCTTGAAAAGAATTAGGTTAGTTATTTGTTGAACAAATAAGTATACATAGAATTTTTAAAATCGAGCCAGTAGTTTCGGAGCATATTCACCGCAAACAATAACAGTCTTTCCTCTTCATAATATAAGTATAGATGTTAGTCAAGTTTTTCCTTTAATATAGGTAGAAGATATAAACTGTAATATGATTGATATTTTTTTAAGAAGTTTGAATTTAAGAAATATAATAGAAATTTAAAGAAAACATTTCAGCTATATGTTTATATAAAAATCAATTGCTGTGCGTTTGTGTTGGTAAAATTTAAGAACCTGTTTTGGTTTTGAAATGTTAGTCATCATAATACATGGAAGGTTTGTACGCTACGAGGTGATACGAAGTACACTGGGTCATCTAGTAAGGTATAATAGTTTCGTTAAGGACGTGACTGTATATAATCATAAAATCACTTTGTTAAAATCATTCAAAGAATTAATACACATTCTCCGGCGCGCTGTCGCTCTCGGTGCAATCCCATTTCGGCGATTTTTATTTTGTTATTATTTTCCTTTGTCATTGCAGAAAAAAATCTTCATCATAATATGCCTGTCTGTTACGCTGGTAATATTAATAATAGTGCTCGCGGTCGCGCTATCGTAATCAGCGTCGCCGCCCCGCTCGGCGCTCCTGGACTAAGTTGTAATGAATCAGTCGTTGCTGACAACAACACAACATTGATATTCGTCTGTATACCATTAACATTAATATTTTGTATGGATGTTGCTTGCCGTATTTAATACAGCGATATACATATACACCTTCAATGATATCGTCGGCGTACTACGTTATGCATGACATTGACAATTCACCTTGCAACTTAAAGCATTGTGCGACAATATGTGGCATTACAATGGCTGTGTTATGCGAAAGTGATCTGTTTTGTCACTAAACACATCACAATTAGGTACATTATTGTGGTCGGTTTTGTTGAAGTTGACGAATTTATAACACAGTCTTTCCGTGTGAACAGATCAGAGATGTTTGTTTGTGAGAGGGTGAATTATTGCCACGGTAGTTAGTTTGAAGACAATATAATTGTGTAAAGTGCAATAAATTGATTGTGCTTTAGTGTAATGTAAGTTCTAAATGTGGCTTTTATGAGAGTAATGCAATATTGAAATAATGGTATAGTTTTACTTTAAAAAGAAAACTATATTATAACTTTTATTATAAGGCATAATCAAGTTAATAACACAAAATACACTTCGAGTACTTACAATGACTCTGTAACTTGTATTTGTTGTTTTACACGGAACATTATGGTAATATTATGCTATATTTTTTTGTCTGGTAACATTTTGGAAATTCAATTATTTGTACCACATTAGTAATTATAGTTTTTACTTCACATTCTGTTTAGACTACAACCACTTTATTGTGTTTATGTGCAAAATAAAAGTTACCTATTATTTTAATGAAAAAAAAAACAACGAATATTAATTTCTTCCTATAATTTTACTTATATTTCAACTTATTTACGGACAGCAGAATATTTAATGCATCGCTGAATAATACCGTTATTTTTATTTTGCAATGTATATTTCTTATCAATAATATGTTGGTAAACTATTAATATAAATTATTGGGTTGGTGCAATTGATTCTACTCGTCTGTACAGGTTCGAATTAATATTTCTTCACTCCGTATGATTAATTGCCATTTTGTTAACTATATTTGTCATTTTTTTAACTAAAATATTTTTTTTGCTGTGGTCTTCACCTTGTTTCATTCATAATTATTATTTTTTACGTGGTAAAAGCTATGTGATGAGATTTTTTTATCGAGAAATGAGTTTCTATACATATAATTTAGATACAATGTACAAAGAAGCTAAAAGTAATAATAATGTATTTATATTTAAAACCATATTTAAAATATATATTAAAAATCACTGATTATATTCGTTTGATCCTCTCTATACGGGTAGAACTTTTGCACATATCCAGTAGCAATCAGTATTTACCTACATTTAAGTTTATTATATAATTGAATGCTTCTCATTAATTGTTTTAGCCTTAGAAACATATCTGTTTCGTAGTTAATGTATAAATATGTAGTATATTTTTTCTGCGCCACTAAATATGCATAAGATCTATAAATATTCTCTAAATCAGTCTGAAAAGTAGACTGAAATTTTTGTTTTCTTTTTCACGTTTTTTTTGTTTATACCTTTAGATTAACATGAACTTTTAATTTGAGAAAACATGTTAATTTTTCATTGCAATGTAGCTGATAGACGATTTTGTTGGTTATACGTTTATATTGTTGATATGCATATTTAAAATATTTACATGTATAAATAAGTATTAGATACAACAATCTCTTTTCTTAAAAGTCACAATATTTTTATCTTGCTAAACACAATGTTTGCATTTAATACTAGCATTTTAATATCAGTAAATGTGAAACTAATATTGTTATGTACCTATATTTTATATCACATGTCTAATATATTACTAACTGTGATTCAAGTGTCGTGTTGTTTAATTAAATACGCCTCTATGTAGGTATGTTGTGGAGCGCTCAATATTGTTGGCAAAATTGTTCGATAAACGTGTCTCCTAAGCTATAATAATTAATCACATTTATTTATTTACTCAAAAGACTGTGAAATATAATTTAATGCCATTTCATTAATATCGATTGTTAATTACTAAGTTACGGTGAAACCTTGGAAACTTTTTTTTTTTTTTCAATAATATAGAGTTGTTTAGTTATTAGTTCATCCTAATATCGGAAGGCGCTACAAAGTTGTTAATAATAAATGATGTATTCGTTAAAAAATTTACTCAAGATGTAAATATGTTTATAATTTCGAAGATTACATTTATTTATTTTATTTCGAATTTATTTGTTTTTTTTTTATTTTATTTGAATGAAAAACCACATGTTTTCAAGCTCAAGGCAAATGACGCACGCACCGTTCTGACGTTAAACGAATGCGGAGCGAAGTGTTCATGAATGTACACAATGTCTTTTATGCCATGCATATATCGTCGTGGTATATGTATATTACAGGCCCGGATCTGGGGAAGGGGGAAAAGTAAGGGAGCTTCCCCGGGCGCCAAAATCATCATTATGACAATACTTATAATAAAAAAAACGAGCTTCTTACATAAATCTCATTCAATTAATTCGTACTCAAAATGTAAAATAAAATCCGGGCTCAGGAAGCTTGGGTGAGGGGCACGGCAAAATGGCGCCAAAGAAAGTTTCTACCCCGGTAAAAAAAAAACGTTGATCCAGGCCTGGTATATTATATAATATAAACGCGTGTTGGCCCGGATTACCATCCGGCGTGTGTTAAAGCGTAATGTTGCATGCTCGCCACCGGGGTCCAACAGAAGAAGATCATGATCCTTGTGTGCCTGCTCATACTGAGCCTGGTGGTGGTTGGCTACGTGTCCAGTATGTTCATGTGAGCGGGCCGAGGTCGCTCGTACAACGCACTATGCTCAAAGGTAAATAGCGTGCCGGCGGGCGGCGGGCCGTTACCGTCACGTACGCGTACTCGGAGCGGTGATAAATCAATGGTATTCACTACTGTTCCAGTGTCCTCAACAAGCTCATACTGAACTAGTTTTTTTTTGTTTCTATCTATATTTGTAACAAAGCTAAGGCGAAGGGATGTTAGGATTTTTTTGTTGTTGGCTGACAATTCACTGATGATTTTTTTTGTAAAAATGTTTGTATTAACTTTCTCGCTTAAGCATAATATTGTTATTATAGTATATCAATTTGTACATAATAATCGCTAATATAAGCATATGATAATAAAATAATGTAGTCATTTGTATTGACATAATAATAAAAAAAAAAAATTTTATACTCTCGCCATCTCTTGGCGACTGAAATGCTTGAAATGCTTAGATTATATTTTAAAAATAATAAATAAGAAATCTAAGCTGTTGCAAGTTATGATTGCTTGTTTGAAAAGTATTATATATTACATTGGCATAGGGTTAAATTCAAAGAACCTTTGGACACTTTATAAACAATAATTATCAGTGCAGACTTAAGAATATTCTACAAGATATTCATTATTTAATTTTGCACACGGTTCTCAGCTGTATCTTAATGGTATGGTATGGTAAATTGTTCAAATTTAAATATAAAATTTTAACTCTTAAAATGGATATACTTGCAAAAACTGTTGATTTCATTCTTTGTTAGTAAATTTCTGCTTCCTCCAAAAGGGCATTTATGTAAAAAAAGAAGTAAACAATTTATAAGCTGTATATGAAATTGAGTTAGAAATTATCGAGCCACAGTTTCTCTGTTATATTTGTTTCTTCGATATTTAGTACAGTACGGGCTAAGTGGACACGTTCAGTAGAACGGTTACCATATTCGTATCCCGGGTACGAACTAAACGGACCGCCTGCCGCCCCTGACCAATTCTAGTCACTAATACGTGTTGTGTTTGTCCATTGTGCAGAAGAAGATAATGATAATGGTGTGCCTACTCGTGCTGGGCCTGATCGCGACCGGCTACGTGTATAACACGTTCTTCTAACTAAACGGGGTCAGGTTTGACGCGTATCATAATCCTGGTGCTTATAGACGCCATATTTAGAATTTTGTTTTGTCGAAAGATTGCGTAGAGGCTGACGTATTTATCGATACATTATGAACGTAATTGTTATCTGTATTTTATTATCATTATCCATAATTTAGAATTTCATTTTTAAGGTGCAAGCTCAGGGGTTCATTAGATTAGTTTTGGCTGTCAATAGATGGCGTTAGTGTTTTGATCTTTTTTCAGTGATATAATATTGTAGATGTCGCGCTTATAAGGTATAATGATGTATTAATCTAGGAATTAGTTTTTTTTCGTTGAAAATATATTTATTTGTCTAATTTTTAAAGCGTCTGTCAACATTCTAGAATCCATTTTTTATTTAGACAAATAAACGTATTCAGCGAACTGATATAAAACTACCTATATTTATAAAAGTTCTTTAAAAAAACTATTAAAAAAACAATCGAGCATAAACGCTAACCATTAACGGCCAAAATGAAGAAAACCCCGATGAGCCACCTTGAATCACGTTCTTTGATCAGATTGATCAGTCAAGGCGCCTCGTAGTGCATCGGTTCAGCAGGCTGCCTTATATTCACATTTTACACTCAACACTGTATGTATTGAACGTTGAGTGCAATTTCATGAATTAAAATGTCAGCTATATGGAAGCCGATGTGATTTCACTTTGGCTGACTGAGTTCGACGCTTGCCGGTGTACTACGGACGTTGATCCGCTCGTCAAGCATTTAGCTTAACGCGAGTGGTTGACTAAGGATATTAATAATGTGATTATCACATTGCTAATATTACTTTAAACCAGAATTGGATCAAAAATAATACAATAATTTGGCCCTTTACAAATTAAAAACTTTATTGGATCGAAGAAATTTGCATGAGTAAAAAAGCGTTCTGGCGTATATTGCGAACATGTATATTATACTTTGCAGTAGGATCAGATGCTGAAAAATAAAATTCATTTTTTCGAGGTAGACATCAAATCTTGTTAATTTATAAAAATCTACTAAATCAAATATTTCTCCATCACTAGCCATTATCTATTATGAATAATGCATTATTATTTATGCATGCGTAGTTAATAGTATTTTGATAATGAACATTTCTTTTTAATTTATTTTTTAATGTACAAACTTAATATAAAAACAATGCTACCTACCAATTATTGAAATTGTAAAATCAACAGTTTCGATATTGGATTGTTATGTTGTCCCACATTTTACTTTGATATATGCACTTTTTAATTATAATTCTTTCTGTATTTGACACCTCCACAGTAGTTAATGTTTTACAATAATGATTAAATTATATTTTTTTTTAAATACGGGAAATCAATAAAACAAATATTTTAGAATATGATTTGAGATATATTCATTAGGAACAAATTAATCAAATAAAAAATGTATTTACGTCTTAGTAGACATAAAGAGGGCGTGTACACCAAAAATTACTAACATCTGGTTTAAAAAAAATAAGCTGTAATTTAAAATGGGAAACTACATCAAAGATTATGCACTTTATAACACTCAAATTGTAATTTATTAAAATTTTCTCTATAGAAAAAAAAAACAAAAGTTATCCGTATAATTTATATATTTTTTAATTTCTTCTAGTTGTATATTCTTACTTATTTACTCTTAAATAGGAAAAAACAAATATTTAAGTCACTTTATAACCAAGGGCCTTATGGAACACCTATACAGTAGGTATTCAATTATACAATAAGCATCCTCTATTTACGAGTGTGTTGATTTAGTCTGGTTATCACTTTTGTATACACCAAATATTACCTTTAAATGTAGCCTATCATTACTATAGGATAGTGTAGGTAGTAGGTACCTATCTGACAGTAATAAAGTAGAATATAGGACAATAGAAATCGTTTGGTTACCAATTGACGTAGGTATAAATCTATTGATAGGCAATATTATATAGCCACTACTATAAATATTTTTATCATTTTGTATTAAAGTCAAAAGAATTCATTCACAGTTGACATGATTAAATTTACAGGATAAAGAAACAAAAAGAAAACGTCGCATTGACATTGGTGCCTGCATCCTGCCTGGCTTCAGTCGACATACGACAACGGTGCAAATCAACAGTTTCGCGCATAGCCGGTGTGACGTCACCAACTGTCACATACCACTTAATTATAATAACGTGATACACCCGTGTACTTCGTGAGTAAATAAGCAATCGCTAACATAATAACATTGAATTCATCGAGCGTTCGCTTATAATATTCACATAACCAAATAATTTAATAAGGCGCAATATTCAGATGTAATTAGTAAGAACAATACGTAGTGTTACAATATATAGACAATTTCGTGAATTCATTATTATAATCGGAAACTATCACAAATTTAATCATTCGTCGATCAAATTCGCTGATGAAATGGAGAAAATACTTATATTTTAGTGTCATTGCCTAAGCTATACATGCTTCAAATGTTCAGCGTTAAAACAATGAAAACACAAACGTAAGAACTCTTTTCGAAAATGCAGTAAAAATTTTCACGAGTCGAGTAGTTTTGGATCAAAAATGTTTTAAAGATTTAGAACGGCAACGTGGATCAATGTTAGACCAATATATTGGATCTGTAATATTGGTTCGATGTTAAAGGTTCTACCTCACCTTATACGAGAGACGCTGAAATGAATTTTGCAAGTGATCACTTGCGCCAAAATAGAATGGTGTTCAACGGAGTGTTTGTTTCGGATGGGTGTAGCGTAGCTGTGTTAGTAAGCTGTCACGGTTAACGGCTCACGTATTAAATTAACTCCTATGTAATAGTGGGTTGAGACTAAATTAAAATAACTACCAATTTACACTTATTTTTACTTAAACTTTTTGCCCTTTAACGTAAATTCTGAAAGTTCACTTACTGTTTTTAAGCGGGTACAGTCGCGAAGACATTTAATTAAGAATAATTTTCTTGTTAGATTTTAATTAGTTTTCTAATATTATGTATACATTAAAATATAAGACGAATATCATACATGTATAAATAGAACTATATGAATATATTATATCTCGCATATTATTTTTGTATCCTTTCATCAAATGACAAATTTATCAAAGGTATTATGTATTATTACGGTATCTATTTAATTATTTGGTTTGGAACAATATTATAAGTCATAATGGTAGAAGAACGAAAAAGTTCTTTTGTAGGTACGTAGAATCGTTGAAAATACGTTGAGAACGTTGACCGTGTCCCAGCTGAAGAGAGCACACTTCATATCGTGCCGGCGTACCAACGCCGTAGCAATAATGTATGATTACAATTGTAAAATTGTTTTAACTTTCGAATGTGTGATAGTAGATGCAGTTGTTGTTTAGTTAACTTTATTATATAATAATGAATTGTTATTGTGGATGTAACGTTTTAATAATCAATAAGAATTAAATACTTTTCGATATAATAATAGTGATACAATCATACCAAAATTGGCGCTTCTCAAGCAGATTGTTAGTTGAATGAATTATTGAAACGTTTATTTCTTATCTATTAAGACGCTCTTTGTTGTACAGTAAGATACATAATGGTAGCCGTTTTAGCTAGGGTAAATTTTTTAATAAATTTGAAGTACCAGAATCTTCAGCAATATAGAAATTGTCAAGCAGTATTTTTCGTTTGTAATATTACTTACATTGTAGAAAAGGAACACTTGAAACTTTAAGCACCAACATTATATTAGCATTTTCTTATAAGAAGATTAAAATATTACATTATAATTAAATAATATTTGCGATGATTTAAAATGTAGTTATCATAAAAGGCATGTCGTTTTAATGTGAATATTGAGGTGAAGTCGCGAATGTGAGTATAACGGCACTAAGGACCCTCGTGCCAGTTTTCCTGTTGCGCCCTCATTATTCCGAACGCAGATGCGATCATAAGAAGCAATGTTAATTTTAACATTTATAGCATAATTAGATTTTTATCCTTAAATGTAGGATTTCATCTAGTTGCCTTCGTAACAGTAGAGAAATTAGGTGATACCTTTTCTCTCGGTAGCTTCATAATGAAATGAAGTCAGTCGCGTATCCACTCGCCAGTCAATTGTGTAGCTTTGTCTTCCGAGCAGGCGCTAGTCTCTACGCAACCCATTGCAGCATAGCCGCGTACTCCGCGCCGCCCGACATAGCGCTGACTCTAGCTAGATGCATCTTACCTCATCGTATTTTAGCGTAAGTATATTATAATATTATGTAGGCCTCGATGCGAGGCCGTGTACCTGACACCAATGTGCCGTCGCCAGCGGTGGAACGCCGCGTCGTCGGGCACACGTTCGCACAATCACGCGCGAGCACGCGCCAAACGCTCGCCAATGAAGAGGTTTGCTCGCGCATACCAGATAGTTGGCCGCAAACCTCTTTCTCGTCGAGATGTAAAATAATTCGTTAGAGTAGGCATAACAAACTTCTAGTCAGCTTTCGATGATCTCTTTATTCTGAATAATCGTAATATTGCAGTTATATTATTCTGTTACTAGTGTACATATAAGTGAGGTTCTCGTGTTCAAGCGGCGTTCGCGATGCCGATGGCCTGCGCTCGCGGCTCGCTCGCCGCACGTGCATTCTAACAAATCTCAATGTTATCGTAAACACATAGATATTTTCTTAATCAATAGTATTGCATATTGTTGGTTGGATTGCTAATTTTGTATAAGTACACAATTAGTATAGTTTATATACTTATGTGTCAATTCTTATAGCATTTTATTACATTACCAGATGATACCTAGTTAGTAAGTGTTAAACGTAATCCAAAATAATAAAAGTACAGTTCAACAATGCTTATTCACAGAATTGTGTTCGATATCCATATTATATCTACATTACCTACTTCTACTACCTAATGTTTCAAACATTAATAACTTGAATTTATTACTTACTCAAATATAATCTGTAATTAGGTTTATATAGGAAGTTTTGTTATTTATCCAAGCCGTTTAAAATGTATAAGTAAAATAAAATTTAACTGTTTTCTTGATAGGTGGGTTTGGTAAATTTAAAAACAACGAACAATGAAATTTATAATAATTATGTAACTATAACAAATGTATGTTTTCTTTATATTAAGTGTATTTAAATTGATTTTGTTTTCAAGTATTTATCTGTGTGAATGTACCAATGGTAATTTGATTGATTTGCAAAATATTACATTCCTCTTGTCTTAATCGCATAATGTAGATATTTAATGCTATTCTATTGAATAATAAATTAGATTAACTAATAAAACACCAGGATTTCGCTGATCCCAATCTTGACAACACTGTTTACAAAAATAGCAGCAAGCGGGTTAGAGGCAATTGCTTTAAAATTTTGAACAGGCTTTTATGTATACCTGGCATAATAAAAACAGAAGCCCTTTTTATGGTTGTAAAATTTCCAAAAAACCCGAAGTGTACGCCTACCTTATTAATATTAAGACTGAGGATAGATTTTACCATATCCTGATAGTCCACTTTCAGCTTTTTATGAAACTTTTCGACTATAGGTGATATTGATACTGAGCCAAAGACTAGGTAAAGATTATCAGGACATGATACGAATACGCCTCTTACTAAACCAGTATTATTCTTATTCGGTCATATTAATATGATAATAAATATAAATATTATATAAATACACGCGTTACACAGTTCCCAATCCGCCAAATCATAATAATGCCATCTTATAAATTGTGATAAACCGCGGCCCGATCTATGAAGCAATTTTATCTACTTTTTCTGATTGTTGTTATCTACATTCCCTAGTACAAAATAATTTACTGGTAAATAATAATTAGCCCAACTGTCCAGTCATCGTCGCATTTGAAGCGATCTTGCCTAGTACGTTAATCGTAGAAGTTCAATTCGATAATAATTAATCTTGGCGCCGTTAAGTCGTTTTCTATTGTTATTATTTAGAGTCGCTAGACTTCATGTGTTGTATAAAATTATCCTTTTATTTAGAACGTTTGATGTTGTTTAACGTTTAATTATGTGAGTATTAAAGAAAACAGAGAGTATAATTTTATTGATTTTGTTTTATAATATTTGACTAAGTATTAATTTAGAAGAAAATGTTGAAATATTTATAGTAATATCCTAATCGTTTTGTTAGTTTTTTCGTCTCAAATATATCAGAATTTATTAAATAAAAATGTATTCCTCTTTATATCGTCTTATAATCTTATAAAGGAACACATAACTAACATTAAAGTATTATTTCCAAAGAAACAGTTATTCTGAACACAAACATGTATAAAATTCAAGTTAGATTGGTTTTATAGTTATATTCTGTACGTAGGTTATCAATCTGAAATTCTCTCATAATTATAAAATAAACGGTGTTTTCTGCTGTATGTCTGGAAATATTATTTTTGTGATTCCCTACTTCAATAAATTAAAGTATACAAGTAAAGATCCACCATAATACATGAAGGGTCTCCCTTTCCCAGTCGTTTTTGGCTATATAGGGAGTGCTTTAACAGGCGGCAGAGGGGTGTCCATCCAGATGCCATCTACCTGCCCGAAGGCTAGTCAAAACGAGGATGCCATACCCACTTAACCACGATCGATGAACCCTAACTTTTGGAAGCAGGGCCCAACGATCCAGCAGTGACTGCTCCATACCCCAAAGACTTCTATTTAGGTACCATAAAAGTCTTTGCCACACCCAGCCGCTATTCCCAATCTACCTACTGAAAGACTACAATAACAGGAAAAGTATTAATAAATATCTTTTTTAACTTCTTTGTCAAAGTAAAAAATTTAGACCACTATACATACATTAATCAGCTCCCAAATATTTAAACCGCCTTGTGTTATAGGAAACTGAACGAAGAAACTACATATCACATATTTTTTGGTGGCTTAATGACTATCATCCGGTTTCTGAATTGAAAATTGAAAGTTAAGAATGTCCTAAACAGTTTTTTTGTTTCTGATTTAAGCAGCGTTCAAAATCAATTAAAATAGCACTAAAATATTGTATCCTATAGGATACGACCGTTTTATAACTCTAGCTATAGCTCTGCTGTAGCCTAGTACAGGCAACAGGCACACCAACGAATTTGAGGGTACTATCATCCAGTTGCACAAACGTCCATTCAAATTATCATTAGTTTAAAACGATATTACCCATACAAGTTTGACATTAATTTCAGCAGGCGTCATTATACCTTAATGGAGGTATGTGCAACTGATCGTATGTAAGTTAATAAATAGTGAGCATATAAATAAAGAGAGATATTGGAAGATCTTAGTGTGCTAACTAGACGTCTAGCAAGTAAGCACACTAGAAATATGGTTTGTATTGACATGTCAAATATTGTTTTACAAAATAGTGACTTCACGAACTTTCTTCTTCAATAGAATGCGAGAGATATTTTTGATTATTGTTGTGCCTGCTTACTTGATGCTTAAAACAACGGCAATTCCAAAAAAAACTAGTAGGAATCATAAAATAATTTTATAAAAAATACAAAATTTTGGATTTAAACACCTAGTATAGTTAATTTATATTTATTTTCTTTTTAACTTGTCTTTGTATGACCTTTGACCTTGTAATTAGAAGTTGAAGAAGTTTTAGCTATGTTTACCTCAAAATTATCATTTTTGTATATCGTGCCAAAATATATAGAACGCCTATAACGTTCTAGTTAGCGGATTATTTTCAACCGACTGCTAGGGTGGCGCCGCCGTTACCGATGCGGCCGTAAGCTGCACTTCTTACAGCTTATAGCTTTAAATGGCTATCTTTTTATGGCTAAACTAGGTACACATATAATTTAACAACTTTATTTCCTGATTACTTTCACGATAAAAATACTTCCTCATTGACATTCAAATCCTACAATTTGTGCTGCCATCTAGTGACATTTTTTGTAGTTCCTTTATATTTTTAAACACTTCCTCATTGGATTTTCTATAGTGTAAAAGGACATATTTAAAACTTTCTAGCTTAGCCCTGCTTGTAAACCAGCCTAGGCAAAAATTAAGGGTATCGGCCTATGAAACAATCGACAAGTGTGCCGACGAGGAAATACCACATTGGTCAAGCGGCCGGCCGACAGTCCACTAATAATTTAGTTTGAATTTGATTGTGGAGCTCTTCAAACTTTTTTCGGTCGATACTGAATCTCAGTAATGTGCGCATTTGCATACCTCTTCATACTGATTAAGAAGTCGAAAATAAATTATAGGCCAATAGAAAGTCTGTAGTCTTCTGGCACTCACTCTTTAGATTGCGATTGAGTTTCTATTTGTTGAATTTCTCAATATCGATTTCGATGTTTCTTTGATATAAATCGATGTTTTTTGAGTCATCTTTCATTGCCTTCAGTAAATGTGTTCTGTGGTTATTGTTACCTAGTAGGGATGGGCAAATGGGAAAATATCGATATATTTCAAATGAATCGATAAATATCGATAAAAATATATCGAGATGTTGATATATCGATATTTTGTCTGAGGTAATAAGCGATTATCATTAAAAATATTCGAAATTTTGATGCAAATCCACCTGACTGTTTTGAAATCAGTTTTATTATTTAAAATAAGTACATAACCACAGCAAAAATTACATTATTCAAACAAACGAGTATTTATCTGATATTGACATCAGGAGCACACTCAATGATATCAACCAAACCAACAAGCAGTGTCATTGTCATAGACAAATTAAAAAAACACAAGCTGGTCATAGACTTAACTCATACAGCCTACTGCCTGCCTACTCTTTTTCTTAATTTAAGAAATACATGATGTGACGCATGAGCAGACAGCAGAACTTTAAAATATATATCGATTTAGATACGAATTTGATATCTGAAAAGAAATATCGTAAGCTGATATATCGCGGGAAATTAATATCGTTGTATTATATCGATTTTTTTTAGAAAAAATATCGATATTTTGATATATCCATAGTTTTTACTCAATCCTACTCTCTAGTTTGATAAATGACGTTTAATGTCAATGTGTCTGTCGTTTGTTTGGCAAACAAAATTTTCTTTTGTATCTGATGATTTGTTAATTCATATAATAATAAACCCTACCAAAGCATATAATTAGAAGACTTGTGTTATAACAATATTCTCATTGTAATCAATTCGTAAATTAAAATGAATGCACCACCCACGTTTGAATCGTTTCTTTTATATGACGGAGAAAAGAAGTAAGTAAAATTGCGTTTGTAAAATAGAAACTTTTTATCAATATAAATTTATTGATATCATGTTGTTAGGGTTCAGAAAGAAGAGGACACAAAAGTTACAAATGCTGCAATATTCACTGTAAACAAAGAAGATCACACTCTTGGCAACATGATTAGGCAGTGAGTTTTAATTTCTTTTTCTTGGTTACCTTTTTATTGCAAATAATTCTTATAATTCAATTATAATAGCCATAATTTAAATAGGATTAGTTTATATAGATGTGTATTTTTTTTAGAAATTGATCTTAAGACCTAGGTTTGACTTAGATATTGTCTTGCAGTAATAAAGCATCCTTATTATTTATTTCAGTCAACTTTTAAAGGACCCTAAAGTCCTTTTTGCTGGATATAAAGTGCCACATCCATTGGAACATAAGTTTGTATTGCGTATTCAGACCACTTCTGATTACACACCACAGGAGGCATTTATGAATGCAATAACTGATCTTACATCTGAGCTATCACTATTTGAGGAACGATTCAAAGTAAGTTGCATAGTGCTAATATTCATAACATATATTTTACAAAAATACTATAAATATCAACCATTTTAATTCAGTTATGTAACCTTTCATAATAGGGATGATGACTAATTTTTATTTGTTTGTCCGTCAGGTAGAGTGTTAAAAAATATTAAACACGTAAATTTTTATTTTTTTCGTTATCATAAAATTACGGTGTTACATTGAGTTGAAATTTCGCATGACGTCAGGTTAGAGTACATTTTCTACTCAACTGCGACGTAGCGAGCCCCCACTCCTCAACTTTAATGCTTGTTATCTATACTATTTATTGTTAAATTGAAGTAAAAAAAAATACGAATCTAATATTTTTCTATTATCTGACTGACGGACTAAATAGAATTGCATTTTTTTTACCCAGTCATCATCCCTATTGGAATGCCTATTATTAGGGACACAGATAATTGATTTTTTCAACTACCTATTTGTTACTTATGTATTTTTTTGTGATGATAAATGCAAAATTTGTGTACATTATCAGTTCCTAATCTTAATATATTGAATTTTATTAAAATTTAGGCAATTTTTTATTTAGAATTTTTCTAGCCTTTTGAAATTTGGTATATTGTTAAAAAGAAATCATATTTTTTAAATCAAGATCTTTATATGTGTTTAAATCTGTAATGTATGAATGTGTGGGAATAACCATTGATTGCATATCTCTTTGAAATAAATAATGTTTAATTATTTACGAATTTGTGTCTGTGTGAATTTGTGTATCATAATTATTGATGAAAGTTCCTATTGCAGTGAGAATCAATTAGTTGAATAACTCTACTTAGATTTTTCTTCAAAATTAATAATCTTATTATACTATTTCAGGAAGCTATCAAAGAAAAGAAGGAAGGATTGGATTGAAGTTCAAAAAATAAAATATAGTTTAATTACCTATTTTAGGAATAAGTGACAAAAGCTTTGCAAGTTACATAAAATTTAAATTATATAACTTTTGAGAATAAAAATATACTTGATTTTGAAAGAACTTTTGTTCTCCGGTTATCTCTGCACCTCATGAAGTTTTAATATTTTTCATAGGTTGTCACATAACTTTGTGTTGATATTTAATTTTTGGTTCAAAATGCACAAGCCGTGCCTGCCATATTATGAAAAAAAAAATTTTTTGGTTGGATGAGTTTTATAACTTTGACATTTTTTCACCCATAAATATAATAAGTATGACAATATGTTTCATTCTATTATTTAGTGTACAATTTTATTAAAATTTAATTGGACACTGGACTTTATATTGTTTTTAGTATTTGTATTTATTTATTTAACCTTTATTAAGGTATTGGTACTTTATTAGTGTATCAGTTACCATGGCCATACATTTATTATCTTATATGAGCAGACCCATCTTAAGCACAACAGGTGCCCAGGTTTTGAATTTTTTTTTACACATATTTATATTAAAAAAACAAAACACACTTGATAGATATTTCAAAACTCGTTGTTCACACATATAAAAAATATTTAAATAAAATTACAACTTTGGGGCGCATTACCGAACTCATTGATGAGTAGGTACTACAAAATTGGATCATCATCGGCGCGACGCCCAGGTGCATTGCACCCCCTGCACCATGGGTAAAGACAGGTCTGGTGTAATGTTTAACGCTCGACAGGCGCCCCCGGGTAAAGACAGCCCTGAGTGCAGCCCGGGTAAAGAGAGAGAGAATATGAGTATTACAATGCTTCCTCAGTCACAATTCTCTAGGTTACTAGAATAGTTTGTATAAAATCTGCTAAATGAGGGAAATAAGGGCTCTTATTTTGTCCTTAATTTGCAAGTGCTTGACAGTGTTGACAAATGCTATAGTGTATTTTACATTACATTGAACATGGAAGTGTTCTTCACCTTATTGCACTAAGTGAAGGTCTCGGTAACCAAAATATATAAATTTCGACAGTGAAAAAGGATATTTGTGTGATAGTAATACCATTCCTGAATATAAAAATGTTTTTCAAAAGGCCATACATGCAGTGTCCAAATTTTATTATAGGTATATGATTTTTCTTTATTAAAAACTAGGTTAAATAAAAGAAGCAAATGTTAAATTATAATTTTATTACTTAAAAATATCATAATTTGGTGTTCTTTTCAAAGGAATTAATTATAATAAAAAAATTGCAGTACAGTGTGTACATTAAAGTTAAAAATATGATGGAAACTGATCAATTTGTGCCACAATACATTTTCTCAATATGCATTATGACCAGATAATGCAAATGAAAAATCGAAATTCCATTCACCAGAGCACTTATTAAAAAAACATGCAGTTTTTTATTTATTATAAAAAGATCAATAGTTCTTATTTACAAACATCATTTACGTATTAATAACTAAGATAGAGTCGTGCTATTTTAATGATAAACAAGTAATAAATAATACCCTAGTAAAACAAGAACAATAACAACGGTAACATTAAAACTATTAAAAACATTCCCCTGTACATGATTTGGAACGCTGCCATTATCCCCTCTAATACGTAATGCTTTTGAGAATAAAATATATTTCAACATATTTTACTATGATATTAAATCGTATAACTTTACTTCAAAAGGTAAAATCCAATCTATTTTAAGCTTTATAATCAGTCATAATTTTAAGTGCAAGATTGAGTGTAAATATTTTGCCTCTTGAAGTAAACCTGCTGCAATATTTCAACAAATATGATTTAAAAGTTTGTGATATCAAAGGAAATTATGTTCAATTATCTAATACACGATGAATCATTTTATCATATACTGCTTGTAAAATGTTTATTCCACATTCAAAATGAAGAATGCTATTCCACATTTAAATAGGTACTTGGAAAAAGTTAGTAAGTTTCTTCTTCGTCACAGTTCTCTGTTGCGTGTCCGAATTCTGTAACAAGAAAAAATACATTATTTCTATTCCAAAGATAAAACTAGTTAGAAAATTGCAACACTATCCATTATAAAATAATATGAATTGAATTGGTACACATGCTTTAAAAAAAGCTTAGCATACTATATTGTACTGTCACAAAATATAATTTTCTAAACTTTTTGTCAAAGAAATTCGTACTGGGCCTGCTCTTAACGTGCCTTCCGGAGGAGCTTGAAGATAATAAGCTTCCTCGATCGAATCGTTTCGATCACCCATCCCATGGCCGGCCGTTGCGAAAGTTGCTAAACTTGCTCAATATAGTTGTTCCGGTCACCCATTCCATGACCGGCCGTTGCTAAAATTGCTTATTTGCTTCAATCGAGTATCGGTCACCCATCCCGTGGCCGGCCATTGCGAAGGTTGCTTAATTTGCTCAATCGAGTTGTTTCGGTTACCTTCGCATATGTCGCAGTACGGGCGCGGCGGCGGGGGCGCGCGGCGCGGCCCCGGCGGCGGCGCCCCCTCCCCCTCCCCCGCCGCTTGCTTCGGACAGTCCTCCGTGTCGTGAGCGTCGAATACGTCGCATATGTCGCAGAATAAACGCGGTGCGACCGCGCGCAGCTTCCGACCATTACTACAACATAAATAGATGACACTTATTCTTAATACAAAATGTTTAAAAAACCCACTTGGTCCCCGCCCAGTCGCCCGGATTGCAAAAGGTCGTAGGTTCGATTCACATCTCAGGGTGCCCGGGATGAAATTGATTTTTTTAGCATTTTGTATTAAGAATTATTTTCAGTATGGCATTGTGAATGCAAAATTAATCAAAATATAATAATTAGATGACACTCTTTTGTTAACACCAAATACAAAACTTACATAGAAATCTCGGAACCCTATTAGGCATTATGCCTGATAAAAAAAAAAACTTGTTTAGTCAGTCACTCAGATAAAAAGTTTCTATGCTTCAATTTAACAAGAAATGGCCTAAATAATAGGCATTAAAGTTGACTCGTATAGTTGTGACGAGGCTTGTTGTGCTTTCTTTTTCATTTAAGAATTTCTCACTAATAATGCATAGGTAAGTGTTTTGTGTAAGTAGTTAACATAAGATTTTACTTATAGTACGTATTATTTATTTAATTGAAATTATCTCCAGGCAGTCGATAGGTTAAAGGTCGTAATCGGACCTTCCTGATCCCATTTTTGATTGAAGCTGTGTCTTCCCCGGTATTCTCTGTCTCTTTCTCTTACAGATAAAGTAGACCAGCCCCTCTCAAAGTGGGCAATAATGCCCCCTTGTGGGCACTGTAGGTCTAAAGGGGGGCGGCAAGATACCCAGAAAAAAAATGGGGACGTTATATAAAGGCTTAGTGGGGCGATTTGTAGTTTCATCTACGAGGACTCTTTGACTGACTCAAAAATGCACTTAAATGATGCTAAAAACTTGTTGGCAATGAAAACTTAAATAAAAACTTGTGAATAAATTAGGATTGATGCAAATTGGTGTGATTCATACCGATATACAAACAAAAGCATTCTCCTTTTACATGAAAAATTATATTTTAAGCGGAGTCGTCATTAAATGTAAATATGAGTCTTTCCTACATGTTTTATTCAATTCTCGGCCTGAACGCGCAGCCTCTATGAACCTACTACGGAGCCCTAGGGTTCCATGACCACCTTTCCGAAAACGCCGAGACAAAACCTGGTTAAATTTTTAATAATGAAAATAACATAAATTATAATAAAAAACTTACAAGATAGGAGAGTCGCTGATGACATTGGCGCCCTCTAGCGCTTGCACACGTGCCATTAATTGTTCGTTCTTCCGCTGCATATCTACTATCACAGAGTTCAGGAAACTCACTTGACCATCGATCACTTCTTTTTCTTCTATAGTCCTGTAATATTATGTTGTATTTCAGGAATAGTTTATATTACGCAAAGCTCGCCGTAGATTATTACGTGTAGTGGACAAAAAAATATTTTCGAGGCTTTTTTGGACATATATGATTCACTTTCTTCTTACATCCAAGTTTGCATCGGCGATTTTTTTTGTTTTTTTTATTTATTTATTTTTTTTATATGAAATCGAGGGCAAAAGACTGCGCTCCACCTGATGGTAAGCGGAGGCGTAGTCCAAACGCGAGGACAGCTAGTGAAAACAGTACGTAGGTACTGCACTAGCCACCCTCACCTTGCCGACCTGCAAGGTGCTTCTTCACGCCCCGCTTGAAGGACCCTATGTCATAGGAAGGAGAGAATACATGGGCCCGGAGACAATTCCATTTTTTGGAAGTACGACAAAGAAATGAGTCGCCAAATTTCTTTGTACGCGAAGGAATCGTTGCAACAGTTAGTTGGTGGCAACGCAAACCAGCACGTGTGGTCCTGAGGAGGAAGGGAGATGGGGGGATAAGGGAAAAGAGTTCTTCAGAGTATTCACCATGGTAGAGACGGTAGAAGACGCTGAGCGAAGTGACGTCTCGGCGCAGTTGCAGGCTTTCTAGGTTCTTGGTGACTTCACCATTGCCAATAATGCGTACTACGCGGCGCTGCAATCTATCCAAAGCATCGAGTAAGTACCTAGCGGAGCCATCCCAAAGGTGCGAGCAATACTCCACGCATGACCAGACCTGCGTTTTGTATAGCAGGCACAGTTGTTCGGGCGTGAAAAAATGCCGCACCTTGTTCAGGACACCGAGTTTTCGTGATGCTGTTTTAATAACAGACTCGATGTGGTTTTTGGGATTCAGATCACAGCGCACCATCCCGAGCATGTTGATGCTGCTCTGTAGAGGCAAGGTTGTGCCCTGAAGAGAGGGAAGGGAGGGGTCTTGGCGGTAAATACGCAAACCTATATTGTATTATTATTGCATAAAATTCCACTCTTCTATACATAGTATAAAAGAAAGTCACTGCCGCTGTCTGTACGCTGATATCTTTTAGTCTACACGACTGATTTTATTGCAGTTTTGAAGAGGTTTATATGATTGTATCATAATTGGAATCGGCTTGCTATTAGTGTGAACGAACCCTTGGCTTAAGTTTAATTTGTTAAATAATACAAATAAGGAGGAATCATTTGTACAGCAACGATACATGCCTTAAGTTATAGCAATGAACAACGTAGATGTTCACATTTAAAAATTCAATTAGTCAAACGAAGACAGAAACATCGAAATCTGAACAGAAGAATGTGTCCCACTCCACTTCAACCAACTTAATTAAAAAAAACAATATAACGACGCTGGAAAGCAACTACGTGTTTGCTTTCCAACCTGCAAAACCAAAATGGATATTTGGAGTGGACAAAAAAAACATATATTTAAAAAAAATATCTTATTTCCGTATAAATTCAGTAAGGAACATTTTACTGGTTACCATGGACGCTTATAGGGATTATTTATCGAAAAAAAAAAGTTTTTCTGCTCTGAAGAACAATTTTGGTTTTGCGGGTTACTTACTACGTGTTTGTTTTCCAGCGTGGATATATCGACGCTGGAAAGCAAACACGTAGTAACCCGCAAATGCAAAATGAATATTTTAAGTGGAAAATATTTATATTTTTCCAAAATAAATATCTTATTTCGATATAAGTTGACTAAGGAACTCCTTATTTATTAGCAGAGTCGTTTATAGTAATTCTTTATCGAAAAAAATAAAAGCTTTTCTGCTCTGAAGAGCAATTTTGGTTTTGCGGGTTACTACGTGTTTGCTTTCCAGCGTGGATATATATTAAATTATAACATCAATAGAAAAAGTCAAACTCACTTTTGCGATGGATTATCACCTTGTCCCAAAATACCCATAGCGCTGTTGTCATTTTTGTCTCGTACGTCACTGCCTTTTGTCGCAATTTCCTTTTGTAATAAAACTTTCTCTCTTTCGGCGATTTCTACTTTGGCCTTTAAATTCTGAATTAAAAACGAATATATATAAGTGTATTCCAAACAAAAATAATTACTAAAATTATATTTATGTTTAGAAGTCACTTAACCAACTACCGAAAATTCAATTCAATAACATTCATTTGAAATGGGGCGGTTAAAAGCATGACCATTAAATCTTTAGCCAAATTCAATTGAAATTAATTCAATATATACTTAAGCTTTTTTTTTTAACCTGGTACGTATACTAAAATAGAATAACTTATTGTATTAATTATTGAATAACTGAAATGTTCTAAGAATGTTATACAATCAAACACATGTATATTATCTTGACTTACCTTAACTTCTTCTTGTAGTTTCGTCACAAACTCATCTTTTTGTTTCAAATTTCTTATATTGTTATCAAGTTCTGATTTAAGATTGTTCACTATTATTTCGCTACTTGCTAATGCTTCTGAACTCGATTTTCTCATTGCTTGCAGTTCTAACGTTAGTTTCTCTAGCTTACTCTCTTTTTCTACGTCAGAAGTTTGCTTAACTGCAAGTAATTCTAATTTTTGAACTAAATCTAAATTATGCTTTTCCGTGTCATTTAATTTTTGTAGAAGTTGTATGTGCTTTTTGGCTTCAGTTTCATTTTTTTCTTTGGATTTCTCTATTTCCTTTTCAAGTTCATTCAATTTGGCTTTTAAATCATGTTTGGTACGCTTGCTTTCTCTTCTGTATTCGTCGAATTCCTTTTGTAGCTGTTTATTTAATTCTTCATAATTAGTTTTTTGCCCCTCATTGATATTGGTTAATTGCTTGATGTCTTTTTCTGACTTAACGACTTGTTGTTCTAAATCGATTATTTTCTGTTTTGTTTTTTCTAATTCCTCAATTTCTTTTTCTTTTTCGGTAAGCTTGGTTTGTAACGACTTTGTGATACTGTTTAGAGATTCAATTTCCGATTTATACTGTTCATTTAACTGCAGATTTTCGTTTTGAAGTCGTTTAATAGTTTCCTGGGTTTCGCTTGTACCAGTCTGTAATGATTCATTAACTTTTTGTAACTGCAATACTTTTTCTTCTATTGTTGTGTTTTTGGTGATTATTTCCTGTTTTAGCACATTGATTTCTTCTTCTAATACTTTTATTTTAGATTTCTCAGTCTCATTTTGCTCATTGTGCGATTTTAACAAAAGGTCCTTTTCTTCCAACAATTTACTTAATTCACTATTTACATCAATATTTTCTTTTAGTTTATTGTTAACTAATGTGGATTCTTCTTTAAGTTTAGTCAGTTCGCTTAGATTTTCACTACATTTAGTATCGAGGTTTGATTTGTCCTGCATTAGAATTGTTATTTCGTTTTTCATTTGCTCTATTTGTGTTAGCTGATCCTTTAATAGTGATTCTTCTGCGGAAGAATTGGCTATAAGACTCTCGTATTTTTGTTTGAAAGAAGATGCTTCCATTGTCGCGCTGTTTAGTTTATCTTCCAGTTGTTTTTTAATCTCTAATACTCTGTCAAGTTCTTCATTTACTTTCGCTATTTGACGATCTTTTTCACTGACAATTTCTAAATTAGATTTAAAGTCCACTTCGAGCATTTCCAATTTTAAAGTTAGATCTTTAATAACATTCTGTTTGTCTTCTAACTGTTGCTTAATTTCAATCTCCAGTGCCTTTTGATTATTCATTTCTTCAGTTAAAACAACTACTTTATTTTGGAATTCAGAAGTTTCATTTTCATGTTGTGATTTTTGACTGGTCAATTGTATTGTCATATCATTAAGTATCTTTTGTAAGGAATCTTCCTGTTTCCTTGCCTCTTCTAATTTATTATTTAAATCATTTTGTGCTTCCGTCAATTGGTCTACCTTTTCCATTAATTTTACTTCTGATGTAGCTCCTTCTGCCTTTAAGATGTTGCTTTCTTCTTTGTAATGATCAATCTCTACTTCCATTTTTTTTCGAATCGCGTCAAATTCGTTATTTAATTCTTGTTCCTTTTGTTTTAGACTTTCGATTTCTTGCTTTAAATTAGTGTTTTCGTCTAAAAGCTTATCGTTATTGCATTCTAATTCTTTTACGTGGTTGCTTGTTTGTGTAATATGATATTCAATTTCCTTGATTTTTGTCTCTGCTTCTTTTAATTTCTCAATTTTTACATCAACTGATTGCACCAGATGACTTCGTTCCAAAGAAAAATCTTCCTGTAGTTTTAACATTTTTTGTTTTAACTCTTGTTCTATTCTACCATGATTATTTGCGGCTTCTCTGAATTTGTCCTTAAATTCCTGTAATTCTTTTTCAGATTCTTTTAGATGTTGTGTAAGTTTATTGAACTGCTCATTGGAATCTGATGCTTGACCTGTCAAATTCATATACTCAGTTTCTATTTTCTCTTTAGCTTTTTGTAATTCATTACATTTTTCCAACGTACTATCAAATTGACGCTTATGCTCACCGACTTCTAATTCCATAGCAGATATTTTGGCTTTAAGATTATTATTGTTTTCAGACAACTCCTTAATGGTTTGTTTTAAACTTTCATTTTCTTCCTTTAATTTTTTCAACTCATCGATATTAGTGTTAAACTGTGAATTTAGATTATCAAATTCAATTTTGCTTTGATCCAGCACTTGTTTATGATTTTCTATCTCTTTCATCAATTGGTCTATTTTATTATTTCGTTCTTCGATTTCTTTTTTATGTTCTTCCGCTATTTTACTATGTTTAATATTAAAACTTGCTGTAGCCTGTTCAAAATCATCTTTCAGTTTTATTATTTCTTTATCTCTCTCGTGTATATTTTGTTTATATTCATTAATGAGTTTTTCTGATGAACTAGTAGAATTATTAGACTCTGAAAGTAACCTTTCATAGTCTTTTGTTTTGGAAGAAAGACTATTTTGTAACTCAGATATTTCCGTTTTGTTCTTTTCATTTTGCTGTGTAACTTCACTCAACAAACTTTCATACTCATTTACTTTAAGAGAATGTTCTTCTTTAACACGAGCTATTTCTTCCTGTAAATATTTAAAAGCCATCTCTTGCTTCTTTTTAGTATCTTCTATTTGTTCTAAATCTAATATTTTGGCACTAAGTTCCATTTTCAGCTTTGTTATTTCTTTATTAAGATTAACTTCGTGTTCTTTACTAGCACCCATCACTGAAAAATCAAATCAAATAATCATTAATAAATACATCAAATACAATAATATCAGTGCATTAGAAAAAAGTTGGGTACACAAAAAAAAAGTTGAGTATTCCGGTACCTCACGAGCTCACTGAAAGAAACCTAATGAACTCATTAGTGATTATTTATTACGGCGTACTGAAAGCTGATAACTCGTGATGAAAAGTGGACCACGTACGACAAGAATGTGCAAAAAAGGTTATGGTCAAAGGTCGGTCAGGCTCCACATACTGGCAAAATCCGGGTTAACTCGCAACAAGGTGATGCTACATGTATGGTGGGATTGGAAGGGCATCGTTCATGATGAGCTCTAACCGCCTCTAGTGCGAACAACTGATGAGATTAAAGCAAGAAGTTGAAAGAAAGAGGCCAGGATTAATCAATAGAAGGGTGTAGTTTTTCATAATGATAACGATAAACCTCAGACATCTTTTGCTACTCAATAAAAATTAAGAGAGTTTCGCTGGGAGGTGTTAATGCATCCGCCGTACAGTTCTGACCTTGCATCTTCAGATTTCTACCTGTTTCGGTTTATTCAGAGTACTTTAGGCAGTTGTCGTAGATTTTTGATCAGCAGCCCCAAAAATTTCTATAGCAATGAGATCACGTTATCAAACAAAATGGTACCTACTTTATTTAGATATAAATAAACTGCGAAAAATCTTTTTCTCCAGCCTATTACAATACAAAAAATACATGGAATCTAGTAAATTGTATATTGGTGTAGATATTTCGTTTATAGAAATTACCTTTGTTTAATTCAAGAGTTTTATCATCAACGGCCGCCTGAAGCTGAGTGAGTTTAGAATTCAAATCTATGATCGTTTGGCTATTTTCTTTGTTTAACTTTTCCAAGTTCTGTTTTTCAGTTTCCAATTTTGATTCTGCTAATTGCAATTTCGCCGTGAGGACCGACAACTGGGTTTCAAATTCAGTTTTCGCAATAGCCATTTTAGTTTTAGCTTCACCGAGCGCCTTGTCAGAATCTGCTTTAAGTTTTGCAAGTTCCTCCGACATACTTTTGCCTAGCGAATCTTTTTCTTGCTCTTTCTCTTTAAGAAGTGCATAAGCTTCATCTAGTAGTTTTTGTAGTTCGGACGACAAAGCTGGAATAGATAATGTATAATTATAGTCTTGTGTAATGATGTTTTTGATATAAATAGGCTTGAATCAGTTATTACTTTGCGCTGCTGTAAGTTCCTCTTTGTGCTGTTCCAACATGGCCGTTATTTCAGCACTTCGTTGATCCTCGAGCGCTTGAAGTGTCGAAGCTGTTGCGTCTGCGCGGGCAGCTTGCAGCACCGCCTCTGCTTCCAGTTCTCGAATGCGTTGTAGATGTTCTGCTTTCTCTTTCTAAATTCAAATATTAATAATTTTCTTCAATACAAATTGATATAGTTATCCGTCAATGTATTCGCCTTTTTTATTTGATGGTATATTATTGTTATATATGATCAATATTGCATTTACAATGCAAAATTAGCGAAAAAGTAACAAGTGCTTGAAAAATTCGACAGTCCTGTAAGGTCCTGGGTAGCTCAGTGGTTAGAGCAATTGCCCGGATTACAAAGGGTCGTCGGTTCGAGGTACAAAGTGATTTTATATGCTTAATTATATATGTTATTAGCTTAATAATGACAACAGATTGTGGCGTAGCGTAATAGAAAATAAGGAAACTGAAAAGTGCTTCTTTTCATGTCGTGAATGTTGAAAATGATATTTATCAACTCTCACCTCCATAGTTTCTTTGTATCGCTGTAACAAAAATAAAAAATTGTATGAGCAATAGTTAAAGGATTATTTGTATTCAATTATAGCATGTAGTTTTATTTTATTATAAAACGAGGACTAAACCTGGTTTAAAGCAAATTGACAATAATAAAAGAGAATTGAGCCGTGTTAACTAATTTGGGTCGGGTAATGATTTAATTCTGCTACTAGGGTTTATCTCAGTTTTATAATACTTAAGATGGATTAAGTTTATGCAAAGAACGTACGTTGTAGTCTTCTTTATTAATGTTCTCCTCTTCATTTCTAAACATGAGATCTTCAACCTTCTGCCGCTCATCTTCAAGTTGCTTGTTGAGTTTACTTAATTCTTGCTTCAGTTTTTCGTTCTCTGTGGTGGTCTGAAATATTACGGTGAAAATTTCAATGTGACATTATAAAACGGTAATGAGCAAGCAATTACTTGAGAAAATTATATAAATAAAGCAGATATTTTTAATTCATAATCCCTTTTACTTCCCACTGCAGGGGCTCAGGCCTTTCTTATGGATGGTTAAGGAGGATGGACCATGACCCTTCTCGCTGGCCCAATGCGAATTGGAGGGTATTAACGACCGTAAATACAGCCAATGGCTTAAACATGCCTTCTGAAGCACGGAGTAGCTCGAGAGAATATTTTTTTGGCCATCCACCCCGTGACCGGCCCTTGCAAAAGTTTCTTCTTTGTTTATTCTTACTTTTATTCAAGTAATTACTTTTACTCAACTATAGATACGGGTGTAAGATTGTCGAGTTTTTGAGAAAAAAGAAAATTTCAAAGATTTGCTTACTTCGGTGGCTTGTTTCTGAAGGTGCGCAAGCGCAGTTTCAGCTCGGTCCGCTTGTAGAGACACTTTGGCCACCTCGGCTCGCTCCAACTCCCGTTCTCGCATTAACCTCTCCAGGTGATGCTGCTTCTCACGAAGTAGTTCCTGGATATTATAAGATAATAGCTGATTATACTAACTTCGGCATTGTACAAATAGGCAATGAAACTCTAATACTATGACTACCATGTAATTGACACATTTTTCTAAAGCTATTTTACTCAACACTATATAAAATATGCAATATACCAGACAAAGCATAGAATAACGATATTGACAAATTATCATCTTGTTTTCTTCATGAAGCAGATTCTTCTTCTCGTGTTAGTTTTCTCAAGTTCTGGCGAAACTGCTACATTATACACACATTATTTTACACAATCCATTTCACGCTACAGATACACGTCTGCATGTCCATAATATGTCATGTTTTCGCGATTGCTTTTGAATTCTAAACAGTTTTACAGTTTTTACAGTAAAATTTTAAAGTTTTTAATAACGTCTGAACTCCTGTTGACTACTTTTGATCACAAACAGTCTCTTCAAACAATTTAGCACTCGCATAGAAAAATATTTGAACACAGAACCATTTGCAATCCAAGAAACTTATCCCATCTCGGGAAGTTGGGACTCATGGTTTTTTTAAATCTTTCTACGCACAAAATATCAACAAACTTTATGTATGCAATATTCTGAGCACTATTTAAACGCGCAAAGGTTTAAAATCAATTGAAGGAATGGATAGATTTGCATAACATGATGCATCGTCGATGGTACCTATTTATAGGTTGAATGATAATTATTTCACAGACTGTAACAAGAGTAGCTAATTTGTAAAATCGTACAAAGCGATCGATAATGAAATTCTAGCTAGCTTCATTATTACACGACCAAGTCGTAGTTAGTACGTAAACATGCCTTAACTAATAATAAATACAATCTCCGGAGTTACATAACGTTTCATTAAAGTTGACCCCCTCTTCATAGTGGCTATGAATATGTTTCTCTTTACCTTGTTTCAGTTAGCCAAGGTCATGCAGGTAATTGATAGAGTAGGTACGCTTTCCATGGGAATTTATGTTCATTGTTTTATGTTTATTGTAGGTATAATTTTTTAATAAATTTATTTTACTTTGTTTATGTAATAGATATTCTTATATTAAAATAAGAACATTTAGATAGAATCCGGCTCGAAGGACCAACTAGGAAATATATAAAATGTTACTTATGATGACCTGGTTATATTAATTTATATATATACACTTCTCTAGTAGGATATAATATTTTTAGGCATATACTAATATACTAATCTATACATTTACTTATTTACTTTGTTTTTGTCACTAGGTAAGTTAATTATTTATTATTGTTCGATACCTATTGTCTGTATTGTGTAACGATAATACGTGATCGCTATTCACAGGTAATCGATTGATAGTTCCCAAGTATAATTTAGTTACCTGCCTTTAGTAATTATTCTCTTTATAAGATATGAATTCAGTCGGTTAAAATATTGCATAAAAAAAACCCGTTTATTCTTAAAATGATGTTTTATCATTATTTGTGAATGCAAAATTAATTAAATAAAATGAGCCGTTTAATTTAATAGATTTTAGATATGGTAATCAATTAAAATTGGTAAATGACAATGATATTAAAAATGGGAAATCATTCAACAACTCAAGTTATCTTCAATGACGCTATTTTTTAATTGAATATAATGATTTTCAATAGATTCCATGATATCTAACAAAATTAAGTGAAGACTTTCTGTTTGGAGACAAATTGAGAATAAGATAACACCAGGCATATTATTACATCTTGTGTATATTCCTACCTATTATATACATTCATATAAAACTATCTTCAAGGATTTCTGTAACTATATCTTATTAATTTCACTCCGCGTTTCACAAAATTATATGAAGTTTAATCTCATTCTACCTAAGCCTAAGGTTAATTAATCTGCGATTTAAATATGGAGGACGAATCGATAACCTTTAATTGATGCTCAAAGGCGGCTCGTGAATTTGTCGGGTGTGCGTGCTCCCCGTGTTAATATTACGTAGTGGCTGACTAATTACCATTTTGTCTAAAACTGTGATCAACTGATCTGAAAAACTTAGCGGTTATTAATATACTGTAGGACATTATATCGGAAGAGAGCAACGGATTGCTTATTTTACTTCAAATCATTCGTTTTCAACGTGAGCTGTGGGGACTCCGGGCTGCAGCCCAAAGAGCCCATACCATAGATCCCCCCTGTTGACAAATATTTTCAATTTGTTCAAAATAATCCAGCGAGATTGTTTAATGCCATTAAATGCAGAAGCAAGAAATTGAACCTATGGCTTGAAAATCAATGTGTCTCCTTTCAATACAACGTAAACGTAGATCTCTTAAATAAGTTTTTGTGTTGTATAATTAAAGATTTGACTCTTTTGACTTTGTATACTTACGTCCTTGATGTCGTGATATTTGATAAACAAAAGACAACGTATATTGTTAAATTAAATATAAACCCGAACCACAAAGTAATTTCTGTTACTTTCGGTTACTTACGATTATCTCTTACTAAGAAAATCAAAATGATATTCTACTTTAAATAAAAAAAACTTACATGTTTCCGTAATACGTAGTAATATATATGTATGAGTGAAATTATTAATTTAGGTAAAAATCAAATGTTTTGAAAGATATTTCGCGTTCACGAAGCTAGTTACCTACTTTATATATACATTAGTATTATGGTTTGGCACAGGCCCCGAGCTTAGGTGACTGGTGCCCTGGGCAAATGGTCTACTGGCGCCCCCTTTATTACTATAATATAAAAGCAAATAATCTATGTTACTTATATTTTAAGAAAGAAATAACAAGAAAACACGTCTTTCATATACAAAACTGTAGACATTTATATCTAGGTACATAATTCACACTTCCAGCAAAGATTACAACTTAAAATTATATTTTTATGGCAATTTGTTTCTCTCATTTATTTTTTAATATCTCTTTTATTTTACGCCCCCAAAAATTTGGCGCCCTGAGCAAATGCCTAGTCTGCCCATTTATAGCCCAGGGCCTGGTTTGGCATACTTGAAATAGCTGCCCTAGACTCAAGTTGTCTCTCTTCCAATTAAGAAGACGTCTAAGTAATCTAATTCTACTGATTTTAAATTGATTGTGAACAAGAAAGGATTTTATTGCTTTGCATTGAATAGGCTCCGGAACCGTGGACCTATTTTATAAATTCTCTCTCATTCGCATCACTAGGTGACTGCAAAGTCGCGAGAAAGAATACTACATCATATTTCTGGTCATTAATTGCGCAAAAACATGAATAAAAAGAACCTCTATAGAAAAATTACAAGTTTCCTGTGCACAAATAAATAAACATTATGCATTTAATATCATTGACCAATTACAATCATATATTATAAAATTAAGCTTTATATATTATAGATATACAAATGCGTCACACGATTACACCGAAATAAGCATTTTAGGGTTGCTAATTTTATTTCCATTTGTAGAATTTCTTATTGTGGCTATGCCCTTTTTATAGGGAAAATTTATAAATATGCCAGTCACTTTTACTTTACACTTGCCGCTCGTAAAGAATATTTTAAACGTCTTGGTTGCCTGGAAGAAGATCTCTAAAAGTCCACCTTTGTGATTACTTTACTTGACACTTTTAGGTGTTTTTTTTGTGCGCAATAAAGAGTATTATTGATAATTTGCGAGTAATTAATTAAAAGCCGTTTTTGACGCACAATTCAGTTTGTCTCTTTTCTATAACAGATATAAACTATATCCCTATCTACATATTTAATTATCAGGCGCAATGAGATTGACAGGCATAGTCTTTTGGCTCGCGAGAAGTTTTGATTATAATTTTAATGACTTAACTGGACTAAAGGCATCGCGATTCAAACGTTAACTAATTACAGATATGACTCAAAATTGCAACAATGTGTGTTCACAGTCAACCCATAGAATTCCTAACCTTGCTATCACAGATTGTAATATTAACAAAGTTATTAATATATATGCTAATTATCATAGTATATTGGCCTCGTCTACATAATATTGTTTATGAAGATACACCAGTCATAAATTGCGGCAGAAACATTTTGCGCATTAATTATATACAGTCAACTAAAGTTCACTTGTTCTAATGGAATTGGAAAAAGTATACGATTACTCAATTTTGTTTAAAAAACTCTTTTCCTATTTTTCTTTTTTAAATATAAAATTTGATTGAATTATTAAACAATGATAATTTCTTTTCACTACATATTTCTTATGTGCTTACCGATACAAAGTAAGATTAAATATATATTATTCTGCTTCAACTAAATTTTGACCTCAGCATATTAAAATTTCCTGTTTACTGTTGCTCTAGAAATTTGCAAACTCTCGGAAATTATCGATTTAAAGTTTTGCTAGCATCCGGGAAGGTCCTGTCGGTGAATTTAATGCAGGACGTTGTTATCTGTGAATTGCGAGACGGTGCACGGCGCCACAGCTGGCGAGACCTTGATCGCTCGTTAACGATAGCCCAAATAGTTTATGTTACGTTAAAATGTGCACAATATTACCCTTTTATGTAACAAGGTAATGGACGCTTTAACGTGGCTATCGTAAAGACGTCACTAAATAAGATATTGTTGATTTCTTGTACTCTTGTGCGATTTGCCCGAAATAAGAATTTATGCAATGTACGATCGGTCAAGAAAATGGTCTAACAGTTTTGACAAAAGTATCAGAGTTATATTTATTTTTAAGGTTGGCTTTTCTAACAGAGTTTAGATGTTATCTGAGACATCTGACGTTAGTATTAAGGTTTACGACTTCAAATGAATCTCAACCGTCGGTTGGTAACCATTTTGTTAGGCGACTATACCTATCGCGTAAGCAAAATAGTTTTGTCTTATTACAGTTGTATCTATTACAGAATAATAATGTGAATTGACAGTGCATAAAGTTAATGAGTAGGTATACATCTGCCTGGGGTTAGTTATATTCTAAATCATTAGGAGAGCTGTCGTATTTTTTTTGTAAGCAATTCTCTTGTGTGTGCTAAATCACCTATACAATCTTCTGATACATCATGGCTTTTATTCCGTATATAATTAACAAATCAATTAGCTGTTCGCTATGGAAATATAGGTCACCATTTAAAATTCGGCTAGGAGTACAGAATTCAATGGAAAACAGAATAGGATATTAGTTTCGCAACTTGTGATTAATATTTCACACTAAGCCATAACTGTTGAACATGCGGATCACAGTTACTATTAAACAGGCAGACTACATTAGTAAAAATAAAACAACCATACAGTTAAAAGTAATACTTTATTATTTTTCCATTCGAAGGCATAATATCAATACGAGACGAATAAAATTTCATTCAATTAATAATTAATATCTATACAGTTGATTTCAACATTAGAACATACTAGTCTACGTTACTCAATAATTTTCTTAGTATATTAAATAGGTAGGTAGTCATATTACTTAACAATAAATGTGAATTTCTATTAATATATTGAAAGATTGGTTACTGTGTACTTACAATTATGAATATTATTTTAACTTACAGGCACTGGTTGATATTATAAAATAATAAAGGAAAATAATAACATAAGAAACATGATATTGCACCGAGTAGGTATACAAATTACACCATAAAAATGTTTCTTGAAAATAAATATTAAATACACGTATAAAAACGAAACACTATCACAGTTTTGCATCAGACGATCTATATAGTATGGTCTTCATATATCTATAATTAGAAAGCGATTTACTAAGCTTGTGTCTGGTATATTGCTGAAATACGATTACAAAAATATCTATTTGTACTTAAAAGTGCGTTAAGTTTAACAAATATTGTCCCTTAAGGAACATGAGTGTCAACATAATAATGGTTATACACTTAGTCAGAGTTAATTGTAAAAAAACACTAATCTCGCAGAACTAGATAGCTTATCATAAATAACAATGCTTGATAATTCGTTACATTTTCCTTGCATACAGAAATAGAATAAAAGTATAATAAATAAAATGTAGAGCTATAAATACCACTCGTATGATAATATAACCAGAAAAATGATTTTTGTTCGAAGCATTGAATTGACTCTAAGATTAAATTAGTCGTTGTTTATGAAATTAACTATTTAGTCCTGCGAAGTCCGATGTTTTACAACTAACTGTATATAACAATTGTCTGTTAGTGTTTAGTTTGTTATACAATTCAAATAACAACAACAGAGTCACTTGCGTTCGTCACTCGTTTCCATTAGTATAAAAAACACGATACTGCCAAAGCAGTTTAAATTAAACAGTCGAAATATTTGAGCCCCGATACCGTCACATGGTAGTCACACAACACAAAACGTCAAACATGCGCTGAACTTCAAAAATATTTGAGCGTTGATTACTGCTAGGAATTGATAAATAGTAAAATTATATTCCTTCCGCTAATGAAAATCTTTCATATAAAAAAGGTTCCCATTAACCGTCACCGAGTGATTTATGGCGTCACTCGAGTCGCTACAGTAGTTAACGCCCTTTAGTGGAACCGAGCCTTTTTTGATGTTCAGCCCACGAGCCAACGCGTGCCGTGAGCTTACCGCGCGGCGATAGTGGGATACCGTACCTGCAGGGCATTCTTCGCCGAGACCGGGGTGGACGAGGCTCTTGGACCACCAACTCGCTGCCGCCGTGCCGTTAGTGACAGTGCGAATGCGCAACAAACATGAGGGGAAAACAACACGCGTTAACGCACGCACTACGGGTGTACAAAACGTGCCCATATAACCTTGCAACTATTATGGTGAAATTTTATAATGTAATAAACATTTTCAGAGAATGCCGTATTAATAAAGTCCTTGTTAATGTTTTGAACCCTCAGTTCGCATGTCTACGATGGAAGGGTTGGTGGTTTCCCCTCTATAAAATTCTTACTCTATTTTTATAAACAAACAAAACAAAACAATTAGCTAGTTGCAAAGTTCTATGGCGGTTAGGTATTCAACACGGTTGAGAAAAGTTTACAATTAGCCTTTCTCAACCCTATTTATGACAGAGCCAATATTGGGCGTTGTCAGTGTTAAAAGTACACCAATTAAAAGGCAAATGTAAGTCTACAAAGAAACTAGCACTACAATTAGTTCTTTGGAAACACACAACGAACATCCGATTCGTGATAACTTACAAGAAATTTTTCATAGGAATGTCATAAAATCATCAAACAAGTGATCACTTGTCGGATATAGCAACTAATTCTTCAAGAAAAAGCTCTATAAAAACTATAGGTAGACTATTGCAAGTTTATAACTGTGCCAATTATTATGTAGGTATATGAAACTACAAAGGCATTGATTTCCTGAATAAATATTAATAAAGTGCCAATATATTAAAATGTTAATTTCATATCTATAAAAATATCACAAAAATAAATAAATAAATTAGAATGTAAATAAAGATTTTGAATAACATACATATTTTAAATTCTATAATAAATAACTAAAACGTTTCTATTGAGCTTTTTTAAAAACGAACATGCTATAATAAATAAATAAAAAGTCAATTTGTATTAGTAAAAATAGCAGCAAACTGTTAATATACAAAGACTATGTATAATATATACATATTTTACAGATCTAATCATACCCTAACACAGGAATTGATCGACTTAAAAATAATATCACAGTCGAAAATTATAACTACATATTATAGGTTGTACTAGATATGGCTACTACAGTCTCTTGAAAAAGTTCGAATATAGCAGTCTCGAAAAGTATCCTGTAGATATATAAATAATTGTGTTGCACTCAACAAGATTGTGAATTACATAACCGCGACATAATCCTTTAATTCAAATAAATTAATATAAATAAGTATGAAAAGTCTACAGCATACTAAGGATGAGATGATAAATGCGAATAAATAAATTTAAAAATAAATCAAGGGCCAAACCAGGGGGTGCCAGCTACTAACAATAACAAAAATACATCGATGCTCATGCAAACGAGAAGCCTCTACATGATATCACAATTCTTGCATGTCACCACCACTAATATCCAGTCTCATTGCTCGTTTCATATAACCAAGGTTGTGCTGATCACAAGTGATATAGTTTTATTCAAAATATAAAATAGCACACTGATTAAAATGTAGTTTGTTGAAAACCGAAAAGTTGTAATAGATGAAAATTTTGGAAACGGTCACTTTATCTCGTCGGATTTAATTTGGTCTTTCAAATGTAGACGACATAGGGGTACGTAAACTGGAAGGGTGACACGCAAGAGAAATGATAGCTTTTTCCGAAGCCTGAGAAGTGAGTGCGCGACGGCGGCATCTCGACGAACACGTCGGTAGCGGCGACCCCGCGGCTGGCCCTCGTCACGGCGGCCGGCCTCCCCGCCCACCGCACCACCTCGCCACCCCGCACCCCTCCACCCCGCCCGCTGCTCCCGCTACTTCCGCTATTGCAAAGGCTGCGCCGCGATCGCTCGCTACCACTCTCGAAGCTGAGCGTGCTTTCCGAACAACGCCATGACTTCGGCAAAGTCTCGCTAGCCCACCTTCGAGGATTCAGCTCCTTGCATTTATCGTTTGTGTTAGTCCGAAAAATGATATCGTAGTAGACACGCGGCTGAGGTAGGGCGATGATGGCGCAGCGATCATACTCGACGTGCTTGATGAGCAGTGTTTTGTCGAGTAAACTGGGAGCGGAGCGGTGTGGACGGGCGCGCGGTGGCGGTGAACGTGATGGACAAGGCTCGGCCGAGCGCGCGCGGGGCTAGCCTACCTGAGCGCCGAGCGACGTCACCCCGAGCCTCACCCCCGCGCGGGACGACGCAATCGACGTCCCTAAAGATGTGATAGATTCCCGGGAGTTCGACCGCCGTAGAGGCGTTGCGCGACCATTACTGTGTATCGCACAAGCGCCTGGTTTGCGGTTTGATGGAGACCGCGACACCTTCCCGATTGGAGCGAACAGGCCGAAGCGTGGTGCGCACTCGAAGTACCTGGAAATGGAAACTGCCAACATCTGCTGTACGATAAATGTAATTATAAAAGTTATTAAGTCGTACCTTTTCCCTTCAACGGAACCATCGTTCTTTCCCAATGGATCGTCTAGTTCGACACCAGCCCAAACACCAGAAGCGAATTCCGTATTTCCAACAAATCTTAATGTGCCGGCTTTACTTCCGCGACTGCTCGATACAATAACGCGGTCGCCTAAACGAAGTTCTCCATTGGTCGTTGTCGAGATCGAAGCATCTGTAAGACAGAAATGCATATTGAATAGAGAATTTTGAACATTAGTATAAACTGAACTAAGAAAAGTACTCACTCATTTTACTGCTGACAAAGCTACGAACGCTGCCATTTGGTGACGCCGTTCGTCGAGCACGCGAAGCGCCGGATGGCGGACGCTCAAATACACTGCCAGCATCGGATACGGGCGAAGCATCGTGAGGCGCGTGCGTTACAAGAGGAATCCTTGTAAGTCGAGTCAAGCGAGAAAATACGCCCCTTTTTTCCCCACATTGAAAATAACGAATTCCAGCTACTGAACCATCGTTCTTGCCTGTAAAATAAATTATTTATCAGCATGTAATTAAAAACATTGACATCTTTATTTTAACTTTTTATGTTTCTTACCTATTGGGTCATCGAGGACAATTCCAGCCCATTCTCCAGGAGCAAACTGAGTTTCGCCGATATAAGCGATCTGACCAGGCTTTGTTCCACCCACCCAAACGCGCTCTCCGATAATAAAGCTATCGGTATCTTCGGTTAATATAACACTATGATCTGAAACATGATAAAAGTTTAGAAATACATAATCATAATGAATAAGCATGCTAACATTTTTATATCCAAGATTATAGAGTCGGCAATATCACTAGCAGAAATACAATAGGAAAGTAGTCAAGTCAAGGTGATTGAAATTTATAGCCATTTGAATATGCATGGTTTCTCAACGTTCCATATTCGGTTCGCACTGTGATGTGCACACGTCTTGAATACCGTTGTGTGTAAGTGCAACGGCCGCCGTGACCATTTGCAAGCCTGTTTGCATATTGTTGCATTTCATTTCAATTGTTAACTTTCGCCAGTCAACTTTATAGATATCATCACAAACTGCATTTGACTTTGAAGAAACACTGTAATTTGTAAATTAATACGATTTCCGATTTGAAAAAGAAAATAACATGCGCTTCCCTATTTCTATAGTGCATAGGTAACAAAACAAACACCTCAAGCAAGCAAAACCTTTTGCTAATCGGCCAACAATACGTGATGGAATGATAATCTGAAGTGTATGGCTGCATATCTTATCGTAGACGAAATAAGCTCACATTCATAACAAAACCATATTTAATCAAGTAACGAAAATATAGAACAGGCAAAGCAATTGTAGAAAAGGTATCGCACTGTTTTGCTGATATACAATTTTTTAAATATCTTTCGAGATGCGGCAGTAGTTTTGATATGATATGGAACATAAAAATTTTAGGGGAAATACAATGAGAACCGTTTCTTCTAATAATTGAAGTTCTTTGTGATATTAGAATGTTCAGTGATGATTCGGTGATTACCTGAAGACCTTCTGAGGCCTGCCTCGCTGAGGCGGCGCGGATGCTTCTCCCAAAGCGCGTCCATCGAGCTGATGCTGTACGTACTGCAGGCTGCCACGACACATAAGCGACACACACAAAAATTAGCCACTACAAACGAACACATAACTAGCCATGACTAGGTTATTTTAACTCTCAATCTTGAAAAATTTAATGGCACAGATAAATGCTTGGAACGTTTAAATTTACCTCTATAACTGTACTTTATATTTGTGTTAGAGAAACCCCAGTATACCGTTGTTATACAGTTAATCTAAATTATAAAAATATATTTTTCACAAAATATACGACTGATTTCCTAATAAAGAACACAAAACAAGATCATAAATATAATAAAATGGGGAAACTGACGTAACTATTTAAAAATGTTTATACAAAACAACTGGTTTCTTATTGAAGCCGTTATTATTGAACTCAAACTAGTGTGGTCGCAAGATCAACAACAGGTTGACGACAAAAAAGAGCGTAACAATAGAAAAGATTTATGATTTACAGAAGAGACAATACGACTAATTGCGGACGATGGAGTACCTATGTGGATGACTTGTAGGCGCGTCGATGCTACCGCTTCGGACACGTGAGCGTTTAGCTTCATAGATGATAGCTCAAGTAAATTTTGGACAATTGGATTTATCTAAATAATATAATACCTTACACACAGCTTTGAAACGTAAATATTTATTTACGATTTGAGTGAACTGTGATATATTTTATGAAGATTTCAAAAATGATGTATAATACAACTTTGGAATTGCTCATAAGTCGGCAAATTATATGGTTAACAGTAAATTAATTATTTATATCATTAAAATGGTGTCATTAAAAATTATTCGTTTGTTAAACTGGGTAATCATTATAATCGTCGTTTTTATATCTATAATTATTTTTATCCCGCATTATCATGCATAAATTAAAGAGTTATTACAACTATTTCCTCCTAACATTCTATGCCAATTATTCATACATTATTATATTGTTATCAGCATATTAACATATTTTTAACTTTACAACATTATATAATTCTTCTAGTCATGCTATTTTATAGTGTTACTATGCACCACCACCAGTATGACGAATTATTTACGTATGTTCCTTCACCTTTTATTATTTAGTCTAATAATGGCGAATCACTAAATTAGTAAGGAACAGACTTACTGGACGCTTTGCGGTATGAACGTGTCCTGTCTGGTAGACTGCTGGTCACCTCGTCTTCTTCGGCTTCAATTAGGTCTGCCCGAAATTATGACGATAGAAATGTGATGTGAAAATTATATACAAGAAAAGAATGAATGGTGATAATCGGCCACGTGCTTTATGATAATTAAGCATTGTTCCATGCTCTATTCGGTGCACGCATGCGATCACAATTGACAATATAACAATCATATCAATTTTGATTAAGTAATAATAGAAGCTACGCTCACCTGAGAGATGCTTTCTAGAAGAATCGTCACTGAGCTTCCTGAGAGTATCTGACGAGCTGCCGTCTATGACAACAAAAACAAAGACACGTAAAGCAAAAACAAATGAAAAAAAACATGCAGACAAAAACTAACGAGTATATGTATCTAATTTTATATCATGAAAATTTCATTTATAGTAATGACATTGGTGAGGCGAAATATAGTTACTCTTAATGTATGACATACTCCAATTATGAGATATAGTATAATTCGATAAAGATATGTATTTTAAGGGCATTAACACCCACAAGGGCACAGCTATTAGTTGACACTTTTGAGTAGGCTTACAAGGCGCAGTGGGTGATAATGTTTTAACTTCGACATGTTTATTCAGTTAGTCTATTACGTTACGCAAATTAGGGTTAATATTTTTATTAATTGACACAAATATTAGTTAACGGAAAGTTGTCAAACAAAAGAATTAAGTAAAGTCGTCACAGCCAAGAATTTTGTTATCATTATTAGAGGCGCATCGGGTGTGATGTGTGTGAATCACGTCACAGAAAATAATCTAATTAGATTAGACTTTAACACGTGTTGCCTTACGTTGGGTGGCATGTGCCCATGATCAGTGATATGAATATTTGCCACGAAAGCTCTCCCTGAACTATACACATGTTGCATGTCATCAGAGTCGGGTAACGTGCCGGCTTCTCATAATAGACATTGAACTAATACCACTCATAGAGACACTGAGGAACCCAATGAAATAGAAATAGTTCCGTCAACACTCACACGAATAATAACTTCAGAGAAAACGAGAGCAGTAGACTAGACAGAAGCAGTGGAGCCGGCCGAGTGGTGACCGCATGCGTCCAGCACTGACATGCCGAGTCGGATTAATCATCTCTCAACTGCGTAGCAAGTTGGCCTTGTCAACAAGCGTGGGCATGGATATTATAACTTAGACATCTTCCAACTTATGTCAGAGAAGGTAATAAATAAGACTATTAATTTTCATTGTGAAGAAAGCTACATCATTCATCTTCTAGTGGAAATGCTCACATGAGTTATGTAAACAGATTTATTTCTTTACATAAATTTCATTGTATATCAATGATTTATTTCATTTCATTAAAAAAGCATAGTGTATATAAATAAAAAACCGCGGCAACTACTACATAATATTTGGTTTTCTGCAAGTTTATTGATCGCAATATTAATAGCAAATTCGAGAATAACTATAATTACACGTTAATTACTATGCAACTAATGGCTATTGATTTATACGTGACAACATATTTTCCGCGTAGGTTCAACAATAACATCACCCAATGCTGCTACGTATCAGCCAGGGGAGTGAATAATTTATTGCACATGCGGCCGCTTATTAGAGACAATTAGAAATTGTCATGAGTCAAATTGAAACTTCAGTAGAGTACTGCATTGCAGTTGCTAATAAATAATTTAGCTTTTAAATTGCTGAGACAGTTCCCCCTATCGATATCAGCCTTCGGTATTCCCATGGAAATACCTACAATACGATCTAGCATTACTGCTACCTACGTACCATTCACAAATCTAAACCATCGTTGGTATTACGGCTGAAGATATTTCTGTGACATATGCGAAAACTTCCTTTGTTGTCAAAATTGAACGACGCCATTAAATTTAATTGACAACATTAACATAACAAGCGTACATTTTTTCACGTTTGTCTGCAGCAAGTCAGTTTACTATTGTTATGCTAAGAAGATATTGAATTCATAGTTTTGTCACAAGTTTACGGACATGGAACAAAAATTAAGTTTATAAATATATCCTTTTAACGCCCACTGGTGATGTTAAATATGATAAAAACAACGTTTATTGTCATACATAACAAGATAACCTTTCTGATAATGCTGTCAAAAATAGGTATTTATTTATTAAATATCGTGTGGCCGCAAGTGTCGTAAATGAACTACAAATAAAGTTATGTCTCACGATCGGGATTCGTGCTATGCAGTCGTCAATGCTTGGGCGATAAAGTTTTATAACTTCACTGGTAAAGTAAAAATTAAACCCCGACTGTTCGTTTAACCTTTTACGTGTAAAGGTAGATCAGGAATGTTTCACGATACTAGATCGTGTTTTTCGTTTGATGGATTGTCATTTATGTGTTGGGCAATTTGTGTCAACTCACAACCCATCCTTACTGTTGAGTTAGGTGTTGACTTAACGCACAACCCATCATTATCTTGGGTGTGGACTTATTGGAAGTGAAGTCCGTGTTACATCAGAAGCTTCAAAATAGCGCTAGGGACATAAAATTTGAGAACTAGATAATTTTAACATGGAAATATAATGTGATGAAATAAAATGGAGCATGACAATGTATAGGGTGTAAGGAGAGGAATACGACAACACATATTGCGCCAAACAAATAAAAGAATAGGGATGACTGCTGGGTTAAAAAATAATTTAGTCCGTTAGTTAGATAATGGAAAAATATTAAATACGTATATTTTTTACTTCAAGTTAACAAGAAATAGCTTATATAACAGGCATTCAAGTTCTTCTTCTTCTTAACTTTGATGGCACTGCGTCACTACAATAGCGCCAACTTCACGTATGAGACTATTACACGATTTAAATACATTCATTCAACCAAACAATTTTGAATTACCAATTTGATGGGGGTTCGCTACGTTACTAGAAAATGTACAAAAGCGTGACGTCATGTAACACTTTAACTCAATGTATCGTCGTAATTAAATATTTTCCAAGAATCTACCAGACGGAAAAAGAAACAAAATGTAGTCGCCATCCCTATTGGAATAGGGCAAACATTTACGAGTGAAGTCCGCTTCACAAGATAATCTAACCACAAATGAATTTAAGTTGACAAAAACAAAAACAGCAGGAGAAACCTAAATGATGTAATAGGTATAACTGAATTCACATATTTGTTCATTTTATTAACATATACGAGAGATACTTGACAACAGACCGTGTCGGTACCGGAGTGTTTTGAGCATGACTTTGGTTTTTGTGGTCAAGTTCAAGTTGAAAATAATTATATGCAATGACATATCCTACGTACAATCATATCACATTTAAAGCGTTTTAATCAACCACATGAATACTGCGTGTTGGATTAAATGTTTTTTAAGTGTGATTTGTATCTACGTTAATGTATTTTAGGGACGTCAGGGTGGCAATATTGTTCGGTTTATAATTAAAAATCTTAAAAGTCTCTAATTATTCAAAAAGTTGAAATTTTTAACTTATACCTTATTTCAATTAAAAATGTATTGATAAAGATAAACCAAATGGTCTGTCTAGTTGAAACATACCTAACGTATTAAAAAAAATATAACACGATTCATTAACAGAAACAAAATATACACAAATCGTCACCGAGACATTACACTACGGGTCATTTAAATATAGAAATAAAAAAAAACAACAACAATACAACCGTTTTTTATCTACCAATCGTAAAGTTTTTTCCTTTGAAATAATTGAATGAATGTGTCCTTATTGTATTTTTTACGCTTTCACAGGTAATAGACACTAATAAATGAAAATAAGTGACAGTTAAATTTGTTCTCATGCCACTAGAGATGTATTAACGATTGATGCAACAGCTGCCTTTTGTAGGACAAATGCAATTCTTTGCGGCAATTATACACTTAAGGCAATCGATTAAATCAATCTAGAGATAATAAACAGTTATCAACATTGATATATAAAAATAAACTTCGTTTAAGAATCAAACATAATCTTGCTTGATGCTGATTTATTACGGAAGAAGGCGAATTCATTATCTAGTTCCTGTTAATTATTGTTGAAAGTATTAAGTCGAGATTTAACATAATTTTATTGTTGCAATACCACGGCATTTTATTATTTCTTCCAGTTGTCTAAAGTTATTTAAAGCAAAAATATAACGATAGATAGAATGTAATCTAGCGAATAGACAAGGAATTAGCACATTAGATCGAAAATACCACAGATAAGATTATAATTACTGCATTACTAATAGCTAAATACCTACCGTACCTATTTAAACAAAGATCTGGTAGTATACAAAGACTATGTTTTCAAGCAAACCCGAATACTATTCTCGTTAGGGCGACTCAGCAGTTGTG